TGGCTTTGTTAGCATTATCCCTGTGAAGATTCCTGTAGATAGAATTCGTCTCCAGTATCCCATTCTTGTCGTAAGAGGTGACGGGATCGGGTGGTCAGACTCACTGACTTGGTTGATGCATGTCATCATATCCCAATAGCGTGGTTCAATACTCATCATGTCAGTCATTGGATTGTCTGGCCCAAGCTCAATTATTAAGAGACCGATGTAATTTTGCTGAGTGAAGCATTAAACAACAAAAACAGTATTACCAGTTAGGTTTGATTGAGTGAGTTTGTTGAATACATCGTGGAGTCGAATCTGGACTTTTCTTCACTCTGGGTACATTTTCAAATCAAATGGTTTTGTAAGTCATAATTTTTGTACATAAAAAATTGCTTTTATTTCCCCTAAAGTGAGTGTGCAAACAGTGTTTGTGCTACAGTTAACTGCTCTACTGACGTAGAAGGCAGCTTGTAAGTAACCAGGGCCAGGAAAACTGGTGGTTAATAGTACGAGCAACAATTCAAGCCATGGAGGAAAAAGGGCAATATTTGTAACAATTGGATATTCATTCTAGTAGGTTCCTTGGCGAAGCTTTGTGTACTGGGAATGTATTCTGCCCTGAATTACAGATACAGATCCTAGAGCTGCACATACAGTCCACCTAATCCTCATTTAGCCTTATTTACATCATAAGCAGTGAGTGAGTGAATATGTTTTTACGCTGCTTTTAGCAATATTCCAGCAATATCACGACGGGGACACCACATTGTACCCATGTTGGGAATGGAACCCAGGTCTTAGGTGTGACTAGCAGACACTCTAACCACTAGGCTACCCGACCGCCCCCACAAGCAGTGACTTTCTAGAACTGCCATGTTAATGTTCCCTAAGTACGGCTCAAATGATAAATTGCCACAATATGTTATCATATGCTTTGTGATATTTCCAGTAAAGTTTGATGACAGGACCAAAGACGAGAGAAATTCCTATTGATGTTGGAAAGTACTGAACATGTGTTTTCAGTGCTCACTGTTGACTTTTACATACTGATGGAATACTGATTAAAAACTGATGTCATTCAAAACATGTCTTGTGTTGTTTGTCAGCCTTGGAGGTAATATACTAGTGGATTCTATTCCAACAAATGGTAGTTTTATGTTACCTTGACAATAGCCCTGTACTGAGTATCATGATGACTTCGTCGTACTAGGATCTCAGTCAACACTTGACCGCCTCCGTGGTCTTGTGGTAGAGCGTCCGCCCGGAGAGCGGAAGGTCCAGGGTTCGATCCCGGGCCGCGTCATACAAAAAGACGTTAAAAGATTGTACTTGTTGTTACCCTGTCTGGCGCTCGGCATTAAGGGGCTAAAACAAGGACTGGTCGGCTCGGAGTCCGTATACTGTGTCTGAGTGGGGTATTCATGTTAAACTGCGGCATGGTATCTCAGTGAGCTAGCACTATAAATCGGCATCAGTCCGGACTAGTACAAGCAGCCACACACACACATACACGTGCATGCATGTCGCTATATAAGTGCAATAATCTTGGACGCGACGTTAAACCCAATTTCACCTCACCTCAGTCAGCACTGGCAGTAGTCTATACTGGAACTTATATACTTTCTGCATATGACTATCATATAACAACTTTTGCTTTTGTCTTCAAATACAAGTGGGCGGTGGGGTAGCCTTGTGGTTAAAGCGTTCGCTTGTCACGGTGAAGACCCGGTTCAATTACCTACAAGGGTACATAGTGTGAGGCCCATTTCTGGTATACACACACACACACACACCCATGAAATTGCTGAAATATTGCTAAAAGTGGCGTAAAATCCAACTCATTCACTCACTCAAATATATGTCTACACCTTATAAAACATGGCTGCTACATCATATAAAATTCATTCAGCAGGATTAGTCTAGATCTGGCATTGCACGGTTTTCAGTGAATTCATGCATTATCAATACTCCATGGCTGCCTGATGTATTACGAAGGTGATGGAATAGGCCAAGTGGACCCTGGAGGACTGAGGAAGGAGGTCAAGCAACAGGCCTTAGTGACTGCATAACTATTATGGCTAATTTACCATGTGAAATTCTGTATTTTTCTGAATAACGTGAGTTCTGCCAATGATACAACAACCAAACCACTGTGGTCATCTCACTGATCCTTAAAATAAAGATCAGATAATAATGAGTCCGATTCCATTTACCAAGTAAATGCTTATGGTGCTACATTATTGTTACCCTTGTGAATGTATCTGTGCCTTCAATTTTCATCCTCCATTCGGCTCGCCGCGAATAGCTGGAAAATTGCTGATGTGGCGTAAAACAACATTCATTCATTCCTCCATTCGGAGTATTCAACCCAAACTGCCAGTAAGGTCCTAGAAAGTCAACATTCGTTAGGGCTGGGACGAGTCCAAATCTACTTCCAGGGTACCCGACACCCTATTACCTGGCCCAACCCGGGCACCTGCTTCAGAGTTGGGTACAAAATATCCGAATAGGAATTGTTTTACCGCAGCCCTAGCAAAAACTATTGAGTTGGTTGGTTGGTTTGTTGTTTAACGCTGCACTCAGCAATATTCCAGCTCTATGACGGCGGTCTGTAAATAACCGATCCACGCAATTGGGATCGATGACATGCATCAACCAAGTCAGCGAGCCTGACCACCCAATAGTCGCTTTTTACGGCAAGCATGGGTTGCTGAAGACCTATTCTACCCCGGATCTTCATGGGTCCAAAAACTATTTAGATACATGTATAAAACAATCTGATCATTCATACACTGAAGTTGACAGACGCTTATCCTTACTCGAACATATAAAAGTCAGAACGAATGCTTGCTTAGTCAAAAGGAAATGTGAACATTAGCTATTCTTGTAGTGTAACCATGGCATTTTATTGTTAATGTCATTAAACTGAATATCAGATGATTAACCACGGGTCCAGGTACCGTGTGGGTACCGGGGTCCTACTGAGGACCCACTAACCCGAGTACCCAAGGTACCCGTCCCAGCCCTAACATTCATATGACCATCCTATCGGGTACAGATTCACTGCTGGGTGAACTGGCATATTCTGATCAAAGACCCATAAGGAGGCACCACATATATGTGCCACATGTGCTTCATTGTGGGGCAGGGGGCACGGGTGGCCCAGTCATCTAAGGCGCCGCGATTCGCTGTGCAGAGTTGCGTCCCTGGACACGCCAGAAACCTATGATTGTGGGTTCGAATCGCGGTTCGCCCCGATTATGTTTCTAGGTTTGTCAGCACCATACCCGTGCTCGTGGGTTTCACCGAAGTGGTAAACGTCTGAGACCTGCATCACTTGGGGCTTTCCTCCCACATTAAGCTGACACGCCGTGATATAACTGGAATAATGTTCAAAGCGGCGTTAAACCCAACTCACTCACTCACTCACTCATTGTGGGGCAGAACCAACTACTCTCCGCTATCTTCACCTGATTTGTGACCTATGCCCTGTACACAGAAGCCTAGATGCCTTCCTGAGGATATACAGACATAATCAGCATGGATGCCATCTAGCTTTTTCCATAGAGTGAGTGAGACGTTTTACGACGCCTTCAGCAAAATTCCAGTAATATCAGGGGGTGGGGGGACTCACACATTGGACCCATGTGGGGAATCAAACCCGGATCTTCGGAGTGACGACAGAACACTTTAACCCCTATGCTACCCATCTGCCCCTTCCACAGACATGAAACCGACACTTGAAATGAGGACTGATATTATTAGTAATAATTTTTATTCTATAAACATCAATTTGATCAGAGAGCATAACATTTTATATAAATAAACATTTACAAACATGAGTAACAAAGATAATACGTATATGCACAACACAGGATATAACACAGATAATACATACACAGTGATAATGCCATATAAACACCATTGAGGTAAGTAAACAATGTAATCAATATCCAGTACAATATTTGCCATCCAATGAGTTCTATCCATGTGCTGCTCATGTCAACTAACATCTTCCCAAGGCAAGTGAGTTAACTGACTATAAAAGTTCAGTTTCCATCCTTGCCGAACTAGGCTGGTATTATGGAGTAACTTTTTGGCTGGACTAACGAGTCTATGCATAGTCCAATCAAAAGCGTGCAACGAAATCGAAATCTGGTTCGTAAACTGTCGTGCGGATTTCCGTCGATTGCAGGATTTACAAAGCATGTGCACCGCCAACTCGTCAACAGATATTTTCCAAATCTTTTCATGTTTTTAATCAAGGTGCTCACGCATTGCGAGATGTAAGACCCGTTTTAGCACAACATAGACCTTGATTATCGATCAGATCGTCTTGACTGGGCGCCACTGTTTTGTTTGAAGCAAATGCAAGTGATAGGAGAGGTGGAATCTGATTAGTCTAGAGGAGAGGCTTAGAAGGGACATAACTCGTAATAGCCACTGGTGGGGCTACGATAGAGCCCAGGAATTCCAGCCTAGTTCGGCAAGGGTGGAAACTGGACTCTTAAAGTCAGTTAACTCTCTTGCCTCGGGAAGATGGTCAACTAATCAAAACACTAGAGATTTTCATGAACGGCCTCCATGTACACTGAGGTAAGTAAATGTCACACGATATATCTTCACACACGCAGAGTGGAATTTTCTTAATTTTCAGCGAACCGACAGAAAACAAAGACATTGGTATGGGCAATAATGTTGTCCGAGTTTGAATCCTCATTCATGTTGTCATACCAGGACATAAGCTTCCAGTCACTTGTTACTCAATAGTCGCAGTCCACGATGATTTCAAAGAGTTTCAGTACATATTTTCAATATCAATGACAATAATAGTGATAATTTAGTCGTGGCTTCAAGTTGTCCATACTATCAGCGCTGATTACAGTAAAGTGTTAGTTTCCATTGTCTATTGCTAATTGCCTCTCAGCGCCAATCATCTGTTGGCTTCCCTTGTTAAGTTTCCACCTTTTGTTATCTTATGACTTTTGTTGTCCTTACATGTACATATATACGCTCTCTGCCTCATATCATTCATTCACCTGATGAAGGAGCAAGCACATACTCCGAAACGTTGTGTTCCTGATAATAAAGAAGTGGACATCCATAAATTCTCACTTCTAAATGCCTTTCAAAGACTTGAACCATGACAATGTCTTGACGCAACCAGCCCTACTACCTACATAACCTGTTGCTGATATATACTACAATAAAAGCTTGTAATCTCCACTAATTACTTGAACAGATGCATAACATACTGTTCCCGAGTTGCTGTTAGTTTGCCCATTATGGCCTGAACATTGGCCTGGTGACAAGGTCGACAGCCCATCTCCACTTGATCACAGTCGGAGTTTCATCATAACAGTGTGGCTCTACGAGGTGACTATCATGCAGACTGGAACTGTGTCTTGAAGGCTGCTAGTTTGGTCATCAGTTCCTCTTCCTCCTGGCTTGTAGACTTGGTCCAGGCTAGGGGCAGGTGCTTGGCTACTATCACCCGATCTGCACAACAGTAGAAAATACCATCAGGTATATAGAATACTAAACGAGCTCCCGTGTAATACCAATTTTATGAAACGAGTGAACAGTTGTGGTATCTGACGAGCGAAAGCGAGCCACAACTATTCACGAGTTTCATAAAATTGGTTTTACACGGGAGCTCGTTTAGTATTTTATTTATTGCTTGCCATTTATAACGTTTTTAGAATTATACTGTAGAATGTGAATAGGCTGACACCTACATGATCCACGGCATAATACAATTGAGTTTAACAGAATAATACTTCAAACACGTCAAAAGTTGAAACGTATGATTTTAATACCATACAACAGTCCACCTTTAGAATTCAGGCGTCTATTCCACAAAATTATCGTAGCATTAAGGTTATCGCAACTCACATACTTTAACTTAGACTAACGACTGTCATGGCGCTACAAAACGATTGTCTTGTGGAACGGGGGCTTGCACCTCAAAGTTTACAATCACGTCACAATACCCGATGACGTAATTTGTGGAATTTTGCCATGCCATGTGACGTCAGCCTAGCAACAAGGGTGCTGGGGTCATCGAGTGTGCATAAGCTCCTCTCAGTGATCTATCATGTCCACCCGCAATGTCGTTGTATAAGCCAAGGGATGTTGAGAGCTTTTAATATTTTTCGTGAAACGGGTTCTGAGAGTACATAAGCACGCGTTTTGGTATTACACAATGTGTAATACAGCTGTATGTTAGTACATAAGCACGCGTTTTGGTATTACACAATAATAGTTATACAGTAATACAGCTGTATGTTAGAGTTAGTTATCTCCCTGTACTAAATGCCATGTGTTCCAATATGGAGGATTAAACTAGACTGATCCCAGTTAGTGAGTCTATTTTCTATAGATACAAGAGTTATCTGTGATTTAAGTTAACCCACATAACATTACAAGGATATTGAACAGAATCAATCCCTGGCTTATACTAAGTGTGATACATAATTTGAGAACTAATTTATAGTAATTTGCACCCCTTGGGACTCTGGGTTAGAAGCGGTCCCCAGGAACCTATGCTTGTCAAATGAGGTGAGGTGAAATGGGGTTTAACGTCGCGTCCAAGATTATTGCACTTATATAGCGACGTGCATGTACGTGTGTGTGTTTGTGTGGCTGCTTGTACTAGTCCGGACTGATGCCGATTTATAGTGCTAGCTCACCCTGGTGAAATCCACCCACACCACCTGATCACACTGACGTCCTCTAACTGTGTCTCACCCTGAAAGAACTCTCCACTGGTTTGTTTAATGGCTGCCGGTGCCAGAGCCAGCCAGATGAGAGTGTCCGCCCCCTCCTCCGGTGTCCGCAGGCGGTCCTTCATCTTGTTGTAGAAGTCTGGCATGGCTGATCTCACCGCTGGGGGCCAAAACATACAGCTATACATTCATATAGTACCATAGTTCCATGAAGGAAGGACCTAACTAGGGCTGGGATGAGTACAAATGTACTACCTCGTGATAACAATAAAGTGAGAGAGTTAAATTTAATGTTGCATCAGCATTACTTCAGCCATACAGCGACAATAACAATAAAGACACTGTGGTAACACTTGACGGATTGTTATTTTTGTCATTAAATGGTACACATTGGAAACATCTTTTCTTAATGTACATACTTGTCTGTTTCTATGGTTTGTATTTTTTTTGGCAGTGAGTATAGTAACTTATATCAAGGTTTATATTGTTTGTTTTGAGCAAAAAGTATTAATTAATTAATTACCGTAATCGTCGTTATAAGCGTCCCGCTGTAATAAGTGCCCACGGCGATATTTGCTAATATATTGGCTAGTGAACAATCCTAATTAGCACCCTTCTGATTTATCAATGTACACAGAACATATATATTCGTGTATAATATACGCACTCGTGTGTTATATTCACCCTTAAATACGGGCAATTAAATTCTTGAAAAATAAATGTGTCGTGTATAATGCACAGACTTTTCTTTTGTATTATTTCAGACTGTCAGCATAAACCATGAAATTTATCATCTTTCAACTCTTTCACCGAAATTATATTCTAATAAAAGCCCCCTATTTCTAATTTTGAGAGCACCCTGGGTGCTTATTACGCCAAATACGGTAAGCAAATACGGTGACATGATGATGATAGGCCATTTATCATGCTCATAAAAGTGAGTGAGAGGGAGAGTGAATATCACACTACGCTGCATCATTATATAAGTGCAAGCCACAATGGTGTACCTGGTGTGTCAGCCCAGCCTGGATGCATGCAGGAGAAGTGGATGCGGGGATGAATTCTGGCCATCTGCTCGGTCATCACAACCTGATGTCTCTTGTTCTGGGCGTACACCATCGTGCCATCGAACTTGGACATCTTCTCGGACTGCAGGTCCTTCCCATCTAGCTTCTGAACCAGCATGCCTCCAGATGTCACAATTACCTATAAAAATACGAATATATTATCATACAACTCAGGACTTATATTGATTGTTTCATCATGGTATTGAGGGAGAGAATCCTCGTGAAGATCCAGGTACGAATTGGTCTTCCGTAACCCATGCTTGTTGTAAGGGTCGACAAACAAGAACAGGAAGTCCGGCTTGCTAACTTGGTTCATCATGTCATTGTATCTCATAGATCAATACTTATGATGTCTGTCACTGGATTGTCTGGTCTAAACTTTATTAGTTACACACAGCAGTCATATAGCTGTAAAACTTCTGAGTGCGCCATTAAACAAACAAACAAACAAATTGAGTGTGAGTGGGCCTATTTCTTGCAGTGACTTTATTTACTAATATGTTCATATTAGGGGGTGAGGTATTATCGGTATATTGGTAAATTGAGGTTCATTCTTCCAAGAGGGGTCACGGGAGGGGTCACGGGTGGCCCAGTCGTCTCAGGCACCGCGATTCATTGTGCAGAGTTGTGTCCCTTGGGCACGCCAGAAACCTATGATTATGGGTTCGAGTCCCGGTTCACCCCGATTATGTTTCTAGGTTTGTCAGCACCATACCTAAGCTCGTGGGTTTCACCCAAGTGGTAAACGTTCTGAGACCTGCATCACTTCGGGCTTTCCTCCCACATTAAGCTGACATGCCGTGATATAACTGGAATACTGTTAAAAGCAGCGTTAAACTTAAACCCAACTCACTCACTCAATCCTAGAGGGTAGACAGTTATAATAAAGCTTGAGCTGGTACTCTCTGGTAATCCTCTACTTCAATGTCATCATGCTGCATCCATCTTCAAACCAGTTGAAACTTACTTACTAAGGCCAGACCAAATTAATTACTTGTTTTACGGGAAACATGTTTTGAAATGTGTAGATGAAGAAGGACACAAAAAAGGAATTTGTTCATGTGGTCAAGTTAAACAATCTAGATATTTTTCTAAAAGCAGTTACACATTGAATTGATGTCTGTCACATTTATGAGTATTATAAAAGATAGTTTGTTTTGCAGACACATGAACCATTTCTCTCTGAACCATCTCTATGGGTGCTTTGTCGAGAACACAGTGCAAGGGGTTGCCTCCAGAGTTATCTCTTGACAATTGAGCTACTTGACAAAGTAGAATGACATATTAATTCAAAAGCAAATGGCAAAATGAACTATCAAAATATATGAAAAACAACTTGATATTCATTCTTTTGGTCCAACATGTTCACTGCCATTACGAAGATTTCGGAAATGGACTCAAGAAACACAAAATCTAAATGGCTGTTGGGCGAGAATTAGTCAAGTGTCTCATATAGATTACGGCAATGAATTGATGAAGGCTCATCCAACTTGAAATACAAATACATCTGTTCATTTTCATAGCAGGAACAAACATATTTTCTTTGTAATTTAGACAAAACTGGATTAGCTGGTTCCATAAAAACTTTGGTTTGGCCTTCATATGTCTACAAGGGGATGATTGATTGATATACACACCACTCTTGGATCGTCACTCTGTGACAGCAGTGGAATAAGAGATGCAGTCAGCAGATACGTTCCTGAAACATACATGCTGTGAATCAAAAATGATAAGGCTGAGGAAGGCCAAGCAACAACAACCACCATATTCGACATAATAAGAGCCCGGGGCGCTCTAAAAATTAGAAATAGGGGGCTTTTATTAGAATATTAGTTGAAAGATATACTTCGTGGTTTATGCTGACAGCTGAAATGTTTATGCACAACAGATAATTTTTCCCAGAATTTAATTGCCCATAATTAAGGGTGCATACAACACATGAGTGTGTATTATACGTGAATAAACAAGTCTTGTGTACATTGATCAATCGAAGGGGTGCTAATTGGTATTGTTTACTAGCCAATATATTAGCAAATATCGCCATGGGTGCTCATTTGAGCGGGGCGCTTATTACATAGAACACGGTAGTTACAATTAGGCATCGACTCGAAAAATGGGTTCAGAAAAAGTGATCAGCCAGCTTCAGAAATTTCTCTTTTTAAAGAGTCTTTTAAAACATTCAAGGACAGAACCAAGAATATTTTTTTCATACACATTTTTAAATGATAGATTGTCTAGTCAATATTAACTTGGTTTAACAATCTAGTACATTGTATTTTTGCCCTAGTATTGTAAATAAAAGATACAACTATTGTGAAAGAATTGCTCTAATTCAAGAAAAACATTTTCTGACTGGATGGGTGTATATGATAAATAGTATTGTTTAAAATATAAGCTGTCCACCAGTCCAAGGACAATCAATTTATAGTAACGAATACCTAATTATAGAGCAGGTATGTCTTATGCATGCATGCTTTGGTCCGAATTGGTAAGAGTACTACAGTCAGGCACTTATTCACTTCATTCATTAGCAGATGAGACCCATGAAGATCCGTGGTAGAATAGGTCTTCAGCAATCCATGCTTGCCGTAAATGGCGACTATGCATGTCATAAGAGGCGACTAACGGGATCGGGTGGTCAATCTCGCTGACTTGGTTGATGCATGCATGTCATCGATCTCAATTGCGTGGATCGATGCTCATGATGTAAATCACTGGATTGTCTGGTCCAGACTCGATTATTTTACAGACCGCCGTCATATAGCTGGAATATTGCTAAGTCTGGCGTGAAACAACAAACAAACATTAGCAGATGATAGGAAACAACCTTAGAGTTATTCCCCCTGGATCTACTTCATTCAGAAACTATCATTAAAATTCAGAGAATGGATTCTTACATCATTAATTCAAGATACAAAATTACGGTTGGTATGCTGCAAATGTCATCAGTTCAGCAATTTGAAAGGGGAATAAGATAAATGGACCTAATATGTTACAATAGAATAGAATTGGTCTCAGCCAATCAGAATCCGACATTCATGTGTAAGGTTCTGATAATTAATTATGTTTATCAATAATATCAATAGTGTAGCATGGAATAAATATTAATTATGAATATTTTACTTTGTCATCATTGTATTGCCAACAGTGAGTGAGTGAGCGAGTTGGATTTAACGCCACTTTTAACAGTATTCCAGTTATATCACGGCGTGTCAGCTTAATGTGAGAGGAAAGCCTGAAGTGATGCAGGTCTCAGACGTTAACCACTTCGGTGAAACCCACGAGCATGGGTATGGTGCTGACAAACCTAGGAACATAATCGGGGCGAACAGGAATTCGAAAGCACAATCATAGGTTTCTGGCGTGCCCAAGGGACGCAACTCTGCACAGCGATTTGCGGCACCTAAGACTGGGCCACCCGTGCCCCAAGTATTGCCAACAGAGCACACACCACTGTGAAGTATGTTTGGATGGTTTCATCAAACCACTGAAGAGATCAATTGTACAAAATCAGAAACGTTGAACAAACTTGTAAAGGAATTCTTGGTGGACTATGTCTTTATACATAAACATCAAGGCTTGATACTTGTTTTTGTGTTCTTTATACACCAGTATGTGTGAAACATTTGATTTGTGATAACCAATTACATACCAAGTGTATTTGTGGCAAAGTTCTTCTCCAGGCCATCTTCTGAGACCTCTCTTGTGTTCACCATACACCCTGCATTGTTTATCTGCGATAGGAAACCAACAGAAGAACAGTATTTAATCAGCTTGTTCTCTGTGTTAGCTGGAAGTAGACAGTGAGTGGATTTTTCTGCTGCTGTTGCCAATGTCTAAGCTACATTCTCTTGTGATTTCATGGGTTGACCTTTCTGCACGTTTTCTCAAAATTATTATTTTTTTCAATCATAATTCTATTCAACCCATGTTTGCCATTAAAGGTGACTATGCTTGTTCTAAGTGGTCAGGCTTGCTGACTTGGTTGATGCATGTCATTGTATCCTAATTTGTGTGGATCGATGCTCATGATGTCAATCACTGGATTGTCTGGTCCAGACTTGATTATTTACAGACCGCCGTCATATAGCTGGAATATTGCTGAGTGTGGCGTTAAACAACACACAAAAGAACAAGACCTGTGAGTCCTCCATAACGTACAGAAAAATCAAGGATACTCACCAAAACATTTAACTTTCCAGTATTTTTTTCAAAATCTGAGGCAAACTTTAGGACATCTCTTGGCTGCGACATGTCCAGTAAATGGAGATGAACATTCTGGAAGGAAGAAAGGGTTCAGGTTTATTGTGATAAACACTAGCAAAACATTGCCTTGAAGTTTAAACTTGCTATCCTCTAAGATTAACATCCTATCGTATCGATCTCATCACACCATATGCACCACCAACACAGTTACGTTCTTTGAGAGGCATTTAGAAGTTGGAGCGCTAAGTATGATAAGATATATGAATGAACAACTTCTTTATTACAATTAGGCGCAACGTTTCGGTGCAGGTTCTAACACCGTTAACAAGGAAGAAACCAGTATTAGAACCTACACCAAAATGATTATTTCCTAATTGTTATAAAGAAGTTGTTCAATCATATACCTTTCCTTAAGAGAGTTACGCTCAGCTAACAACCATAAACTGATGGTTTTCTATAAAGATTTGTTGCACGAATAACTCTGGCACAGCGCTAGTTTGGTGACAGTACAACTTTAACACCTTGGTCTTAAGTGTGACAATGGGAGCCTATTTCCTGGAATGAAATCACCAATTAACTCCATATTCTCATCAACTCAATTTCACAATTATCATTAATAATAATATGGGCAATCTATCCGCTCTATCAGAGGGCAATTCAGGCGGATACTATTCCCCCTGCAAGTAATTTAACATTCATCTCTTTTTTGTTTTTTCATCATTCGTCTACTCTGCCAGGTACTCCTGGCGCTCGGGAGCAAGTCTAGGGGTGCGCGACTCCTACTTGTATTACTTGGCAGAGGTACAGCCCGCCGATCGGGTCTATTTCTTCACCGTCCATTGTTCGTATACTCAGCCAAGTCTCAGTACGCTCAAACAGTATGGAGTGCGCTACTCCGATATTAGAGACTTGGCTGAAGTTAGTCTTCCATGTACTATGTTTATGTGTCATGTATATATGTATATACCGAGAATCCCCATATGCCAAAAAATTTAATAAATGTTGTTCTTTTATATGTTGTCGTGTTGTTATTGCCATTATAAATTGGTCTTAAGTGTGACAATGGGAGTCTATTTCATGGAATGAAATCACCAATTAACTCCATATTAGCCATATTAAGCTTCTCCTGACCAAGCTGTCCATACTAAGACAGACAATATACATGATTTACATGATTTAGATGACACTGTACGTTTTTCTTGTGTATGTTACAGATTTCTTTTACAGAAAACTGCAGAGTTAAAAGGATATATACCGGTAATTAGTGTAACTAATGTTTGAAGTAACTTGTCAGCAGCTGCTCGATATCTGACAAAACATTTAACTCATGGCATATGAGGTCTTTGAAGGGCATTTAGAAGTGATACACATAAGGAAGAGAATTTATTGTTGTCAACTTGTTTATTATGAGGAACCCAATGTTTTGGAGTATATGCTTACTCCTTCATCAGTTGATTCACCTGAAGAAGGAGTAAGCATATTAATTAAAACAATATTAAAAGGAATTTTGGATAAAATCAATAAAAGTTACAAACATAAGTCCAGATATACAAAGAACACTTTTTATAGCCAGACAGTGTAATTACATGACTAATTTGCGTACTTCAGTATGGATTTGTTGACATGGTATTTCTGGTGTTACGTGCTCACGGTAATGTCTTTCCATGGGGGAAAAACATCAAAACTCATTAATTTGTGTATAATGCGAACCCCCTTCTACACAGCTGTATTTTTGGGAACAAAAGTGTGCACTATACTCAAGAAAATATGGTACTCCGAAACATATTCCTCATAATAAAGAAGTTGACATCCATAAATTCTCTTCCTTATGGTGTATGTTTTAAATATTGTCCCCCTTCGTCAATATTCTAAGGATTCAGGGTGCTTATGACAGCAAATACGGTATTGATAAATGATATCAGTCAATCCAATGCTGTCATTTCAGTCAAACAAGTATGTGAATAGTTTCAATAAACTATACTGATTTCCTCCATCGTCTGGGCTTTACCTGGTTACCAGACAGTTCAGTTATTTCTGCCTTGGCTTCTTCCCCTCGCTTGCCGTCTCTGCATACCATGTGTATAGTCCCACCTCGAACATACAAATCAGGTTAATAAAACAAATCAACATCGTTTTCGGCTGCATTCAGCAAGATGACAACTACACTCAGTTCGAGGCTTCTACATAGTCAGACAAGACCAGACAAGCAAGTATTTAAAGTAAGACGAGTTCTATGGATGAACAACTTCTTTATTACAATTAGTGCTATAGAACTCGTCTTACTTCATCACACCAACTTCTAAATGCCACTGAAAGAAGTTAAGCAAGTATTTGATAGCAGAAAATGAGCTACAGGTGTCACTAGCAGGATGTATGAGACTCTACATGCTGTACTGTCTTCTACACCATGAGAACCACTTCAAAATGTATTGGGTCATGGTTGTGATTATTTTTACGTATTTTATGCACACAGAGCTCCAGATAAGCTTTTGGTGTTGTGGGTATTTTACCCATGCATTTTAAAATCATTGGGTATCAGTAATTCTATCTGGGTATTCAAATTTCTGTTACCCACTAGTTTTTACACATGTGGGTAATTAAGTTAAATATTTAAAAACACTATTCATCTAGTCCCTGCAAACTGGTGTCGTGTGGGTTCGAGAGCTTTATAGGACTCAAAAATACCGCGATACTTCCACAAGAAAGTGTGATGGCAAATGATCATGATGTAAGTGTCATCGTGGAGTTTGGCAAGGTTGACGGAATGCCCGTTTATAATTTCAAAATAAGTTGCTGATTTGCTAATCGAATACGCAGGGTTACTTCACAATATTTGGATGATGCGCACAAGTTTTATTTTTGTAGCGTATCTGTAATGTTCGTTGCGTATTTGATACGCTTGGATGTTATTTGACTGCGTATTTCTGCATTTCTGATGCGTTTTTCACGCAGATATGCAGCTTATCTGGAGCTCTGTGCACATACTCACAATCCGAGCAATGTAGGAGTATTTGACCGGCAATCTACCATGATCGTGACAATCAACTGTTCTTTAATCTTAGGTGTATGATAAGTAAATACCTTTCTTTGCAATAGCAATTGCTGCACATTTTCCAATTCCACTGTTCGCCCCTGTGATCATGAAACTCCTCCCTGTCACATCAACCTCCAGGTCACTAGCATTGAATGCCTTACAAGCCGAGGCATAGCCTGATCTGAATAAACATTAAGAATGAAATCATGAATGGGGTTTAATGTAACTTTAAAGATTATTGCACTTGTATTGTAACGTGCATGCTTATGCGTGCATGTGTCTGTTTGTGCTAGCCCAGACTAATGCCGGTTTTATAGTACTAGCCCACTGATACCATGTCACAGTTTAACATGGATACCTCACTCAGACACAACATATTGACCCCTGAGCTCACCAGTCCTTGTTTAATTAATGGCAGAGTCTCAGGCAGGGTGATATTTCACGTTCCATTTCAAGTGGCGAGGACTATAGTAATCATTTATTGAAAAAGTTTTAGTTCCAATGATGTTTGAATGAAACAAAGTTTATTCTCTCTAGCTCCATCATTGACATCGTTGTATATGGTTTTTTTAACAAACAGTCCCCTTTGTCAATTAACTAATTGTCCAAGGATCTTATTACAGTGATTATGGTATGTGTGATTTTATTGTAAATGTGCATTTGCATATATCTTACTTTGTATATTCTCTTAATCCTTTCACAAACCAGATTGTATTTCTGAAGAATGACATGTTAAACGGTTTGTAGTTAGTTCCGTCACTCGACAACTTTGACAAACCTGCAAACATAGAATGCAAACAGTGTGAGCAAGACATATCAGGATATGGAGCATGATATATATGTAGCATGGGGACAGGGATGTGAGAAATGATAGCTCTCCCAGGTCCGGACACAACACAAGATTTCAAATTTACGCAAATTTCAGATCACTGGGTGTTTAGAGGTTTACTTGACTTGTGCGAGAAGAAGGGTTACTCTTCCTTAAAGGGACGTTATTCTTTATTGGCACCTTTCCCTTGAGATTTCAGTGATGCCCTCAAATTACAGGGTATGTTATTATCACACTCAAATCACCAAACACCTTATAATCAAAAGGCAAGGAAGGTAACCGATGGTGTATTTTCAAATGGCAGCAATAATACGAGCGCTAGAAAACTTCAGACAAAATTTCAGTGTTAAATGCAATAAACTTTAAAAGTGCCCAAATGGAAAGTTTTCTACATTTATCGCTAATGTTATTTCTTGCACAAAAACTTCTCCAAGTTAGAATTCGGCAGCCGGTGATCTGATTCTCTGTGCATGATTTGATTGGTTTATCTGAAATCCTCTTATGTCATATTGCAATGAATTGTAAACTAAATTTACTGAAACAAAATTGTGCTGCATTTTGTAGATATACAAGGTGTCCCATGATGATTATGTTCCAAACCTATAGCAAATCTCAAATCGTAATGATACAAGACAGCTTTGGTCGATATGACAAACGCCCAGAAGTTTGAGTGTGCCACTGATATTTACAAACACGTAGAAATCAACTTAGCGCTAAGATCGCTTTGTGGAACAGGCCTCTGACGTGTCTAATGCTGTGTACTGACTCATGTACTAAATACAGAATATGATTCCTGTGACACATCACGGACACGCTCGTAAAGTTTGTAATGTAAATTTGAGAGAAGAATTCGTGCCGTTTACAATCACTAGACAACCATACAATTAAAGTTCATCTTTTTTCCACGAATACAATTAAGAAAGAATAGCCAATTAAAGTATGGACTATGTTGTAAACTAAAAAGTACAATATACATGACTCGTTGACAGCACTGATATCACTAAGGTTATGTAACCAGATGGTAACCCAACATTTAATCATTTTCTGTCTATAATAACATTTGACATGTCCAAACGATGTTACATTCAGATAAATTTGCTATTACTTGTGAACAAAACCAGCAATCTAACGAACGTTGGTCGGTAATTGTGGAGAATAACTGCATTAATAAAATGCAAATGTTTCACCTGACAAACCTTTCTGTGAACGGCTGTAAACTACGTCATCAAATTATGTGCACAGTGCTTGGTTTTATACAAAGGTTGAAGTGACTGTCACACGAATCAAGGACAACATGGTCTTTCTTCGAAAAATCCTCTATCTATAACTAAAAGACTACCTATAGATTATAACCGACATGTTCTTTCCGTTAACATTAACACGCCAAAAGGGATAAGCGATTGCTTCCAATTAAAAATCGTTTTTTTGGTTTGTTTCGTAATTTCAATTTTCACACAATTGATGACGTGTAACACATCCTGAATAATGAGCTGGAAGCTGTGCAAAATGTGATATTTGTCTTTGTATTTTTCTTCGTATATAAGCCCAGAACAGATTTTCAAAAATGGTGAGAACACTAGTTTAAACAATAGTTATATATCTGTCTTTGTCGTATTAATATTTATCTAATTTTGAACTGAGAAGAAGTTGAAATAATCATGTGCTATTTTATGAGGCCATTCCAACCCTAAACATATTTTATACATATTGCCACGCCCATGTATCAATTCATTTCATTGCAATTAAAAATTAAAGGTTTTTTTTGTTGGTGTATACCCACAAAGCAAATACGTAAATAAGTTGAAGGTAAGAATGTTTTCTAGATGGTGACATTTATGGTGTTCCGGTATTGATCCCATAGGGTAGTACTGATATAATATCAGAAAACGTACAACTTGTTATCCATAAAATTGTACGTTTTCATATTTACTCACCAACTTCTAGGATGCCAATCAAACAGTTGTATAACATTATCGTTCGAGACTGTCAGGGTTTGAAGTGAAATTGCTCCATTTAATTTCGACAGCCTGGGTGGAATATGAAGCTATTAGGTCTTACAGTCCCTATGAACATGATTAATAGAAACCTTGATGTTTTATCTTGTCATTATCTGATAATCATATTGTGGTTGTCACACAGAAATATAGTTAAAATATAGTGAACATTCACCCCTGAGCTAGGAGCTATTATTCATTTCAGTCCTTTGGGAAGTTTTATATATTTTAATTACCATAACTCTTTTTTGAAGTTGAACATTGAAATGATAATGTTGTAATTCAGATGTGTGTTTTCCCAGACAGTCATGACAGGACAGTCCCGGACGTTTATCATGGTTATTCCTACACCCCATGCCATACCTTTGTCATTTACAGTTTACAATATACTGAAATTATTCAATCCAAATGGAGTTATTTAACATCAATGTTGAGCTGGGTTTCAAATAGGTGTTCTTTGGCTTCACATGATATACTCTAAGTCCTTCACATACGTTTTCTACGTTCCACAAACTTTGATTGGAGGGTGTCACTCATGAAGTCTTGCTTGACATAGTATATCAAAGAAGTTGTTATTGATAAGTTGTATCTACTTTGTCATCCGTCAGCTTCTAAGAAATGCGGGGTGGTCGGGTAGCCTACTGGTTAAAGCGTTCACTCGTCACGCTGAAGATCCGGGTTCGATTCCCGGCATGGGTACAATGTGTGAAGCCCATTTCTGGGGTCCTCTGCCGTGATATAGCTGGAATATTGCTAAAAGCGGCGTAAAACCATACTCACTCACTCGCTCACTCTAAGAAATGCCTAGTAAAGTAGTACTTTATCATTCCACTTAGAAGCAATGTAATGTTGGTCGTTTATGTTGTTATTTCTTTAATTTCAGATGCAGTTTATGCTTCTGTTTAGCCGGCAAGGCAAACTCCGGCTACAGAAGTGGTATGTTGCCAACACAGACAAGACGAAGAAGAAGATCACACGAGAATTAGTCACAATGGTCTTAGCCAGGAAACCAAAGATGTGCAGCTTTCTTGAATGGAAAGATCTTAAAATTGTTTATAAAAGGTCAAGCTTTATTTTCTGTTGTCTGATCTATATGTAACATTGCTAAACAAGGACACAATTTCCCTGTCATGAAGTTATTGTTAGCCAGTTTTCTCAGGTCTACATGCTTAACCAACACAACACAGTTTCCCCAAGTAGTGACTCCCACAGGTTCAGGAAATTCAGGAAATTCAGTTATAATTTGTATGATTTTCCTCAGCAATTGAATACATTTACAAAATTATGTGATGGTACAGTGATGGTACAAGACAGCAGTGGTCGATACGACGAACACCCAGTAATTTGAGTGTGCCACTGAAATTTACGAACGCCTTGAAATCTGGTCGTAAGCCTTCGTTAAAGTATGTGAATTAGGGCTAAGACTCGTATACTAAATATAGAACATATTTCTGTATACTTCATGTCATGAACTTGATGAAGTTTGCTGCTATCGTATTTAAATCAAGAGACTCACCAAGTCTCAAGGGGCGGTCGGGTAGCCTAGTGGTTAAAGCGTTCGCTCATCACGCCGAAGACCTGGGTTTGATTCCCGACATGGGTACAATGTGTGAAGCTCATTTCTGGTGTCCCCTGCCGTGATGTTGCTGGGATATTGCTAAAAACTGCGAAAAACCATACTCACTCACTCACTCACCAAGTCTCAAACCTACAACATTGGTGTAATAACATGGACCCTTTGACATAGTTACATGTTCATGCTAAATTTTGAAAAATGTAGGTCAATGAATTGTCATAAATGACACACTATCATTTTATTTTGTCTGCAGATACGCCAGTTTGTACTTCTGCTGTGCTATCGAACCTGAGGATAATGAGCTGCTTACATTAGAAATCATCCACAGATATGTTGAACTATTGGATAAATACTTCGGAAGTGTGAGTAATTTCCATAAATGTTATATACTATTTTTCTTAAAGCAACAGCTTTTACCTCATGAAGATCTGAGCTAGAATTGGTCTTCAGCAACCCAAGCTTGAAGTAAGAGGTGACGAATGAGATCATTTGATCAGGCTTGCTGACTTGTGTGATTGCATGTCATTGCATCCCAATTGCATAGATCAATGCTCATGATGTCAATCACTGGATTGTCTGGTCCAGACTCAATTTACAGACTGCAGTAATATAGCTGGAAAATTGCTGAGTGTGGCGTTAAACTACAAACTACAGCTTCTGAATGCCACTTAAACATGTGATAGAAAGCATTATGTTATTAGGTAATGCAACATTCTAGAGTAGATGTTTGTGAAATCAAAAGTGAAGTTTGGATTCCAGGGTTATAGCTAGGTCCCCCAGTTCTTCATGTCATAAGAGTCAAATGTGGGAAACATGTATTAACCATGAGTGATCTGCGTATCTTTCCACAAATAGGTCTTAAGCAGCTTTACTCCCAAACTTAATCATGTTTATTCTGACAATCATGGCACAAAGATCTCTTTGTGACATAGTGAGCCCTGTGGAATTCTTACAGGCTGACTTAATTTAATTTGGGCATTTGATCTTGTTAATTAGAAAACATTCACTCCAACTTATTATGTCCTTCCCCCTGTGGGGATTCCGGGTTTGAAATAGTCCCCAGGAACCGGTGCTGGTCATAAGAGGCGACTTGGATCGTGGGGGGGGGGGGGGGGGGGGGGGGGTCAACCTCAGTGACTTGGCTGATAGGGCCTCATCTTACCCTGACGGCATAGATCGGTGTTCACAATATCAGTCACTGGAATGTCTGGTTCAGACTACATTATTAACAGGCTGCACTCATATAGCTGTAATATTGCTGAATGTGGTGTAGATCGGATAGAATAGGTGTTCTGCAACCCATGCTTGCCGTAAAGGGCGACTGTGCTTGTCATAAGAAGCGACTAATGGGATCAGGTGGTCAGCTCGCTGACTTGGTTGATGCATGTCATTGATCCCAATTGCGTGGATCGATGCTCATGATATCAATCACTGGATCTGGTCCAGACTCGATTATTTACAGACAGTTGTCATACAGCTGGAATATTGCATTAAACAACAAACAAACAAACAAATGTGGTATTAAACAACAAACAAAATACTTTTCTACTCTTGATAGAGATAAGCATATGACATTCTTTTTAAATATACACTTACATCTTATGAGAATTGGGGGCACGGGTGGCCCAGTCGTCTGAGGCGCCGCGATTCACTGTGCAGAGTTGCGTCCCTTAGACACGCCAGAAACCTATGCTTGTGGGTTCGAATCCCGGTTCGCCCTGATTATGTTTCTAGGTTTGTCAGCACCATACCCGTGCTCGTGGGTTTCACCGAAGTGGTAAACGTCTGAGACCTGCATCACTTCCGGCTTTCCTCCCACATTAAGCTGACATGCCGTGATATAACTGGAATACTGTTAAAAGCAGCGTAAAACCCAACTCACTCACTCTCTCACTCTTATGAGAATCAGTTTTGTGTATCTTGAAAAAAAATAAAAATATCCCTACCAAAACTGGAGTAGTATATTATGTCCACCTTTGCTCCTCAGGTCTGTGAGCTAGACATTATCTTCAACTTCGAGAAGGCTTACTTCATGTTAGACGAGTTCCTACTGGGCGGGGAGGTGCAAGAAACGAGCAAGAAGAATGTACTCAAGGCCATAGCTGCACAGGACCTGTTACAAGAGGTGAGACTATCTTGCAGGGTACTTGAATGTCTCCAGTCACAATCACAGTATACCCATGTCCATCTGAGGATGGAAACACAAATGAAGCAGTTCCTGAATCATAGTAGAGCATGATGGATCTAGGAGGTATATTACTACCAGTTAATGTTATTTTTAATTGTAAAGAACTATTTTTCAAAACACAAATGGATTTTTATTACATTTTGTTAAGTTTTTAGGAAAAGCAGTGATGCTGGTCTTATGTTGTAAGGGTTATTTATAAGATCAAGAGAGATTGTTTGCGAGACATGATACAAACGTTTATCACTGTATTAACAGGGTATGAAACTCCCAAAAATTTCAGCCAGAGCACAGGACTGGCTAGCTGAAATACTTGCCAGCCCTGACCAAAACCTGCCTGCCCACTATAATCATATGTTTCTCAGGATAATTAAATTTAAAATATGAAAACTGATTGCTTGTAACATAAGCGCATTGCTAATGTTAGGTTGTCTAAAAGCTAACGGGGTTTCTTTTTGGTTTCATTTTATCATTCATCTTTCCATGTTAATTAATGCTTATCATCGCGAAATATTAAGAATATTTTCACCTATGAAATATAACCCGACCGTCGGGCAGGGGGATTTGAAAATCTGTTAGCCCGAGGTGAAATCAACCCGTCTCGGACGGTCGGGCAGGCAGGTATTTCAAACGCTGGTATTAAGTGTTCTTATGGGTCCTGGTTAAGTCTGTTTCCTGCCTCCTGTGGACATTGGTGTATTGTATGTTGACACTAAAACATGTTTGTTCTTGCTTTATCTTAGAGCTTTGAGGCATGTCCGACCTGAACTCTCTTCACCTTTTCTCCTTTCTACTGGAATAATTGCATTTTCTACTTGCAAAAAAATCTAAATGAAAGAAATATTTAGATGGGGTTAAACATAACATGATGAGACTTTTACCAAACTTAATTTCAGACTACTTCTTGATCATGTTCGTTCCTGTTAAGAAAGTCATTGAATCAGAAACATCCTTGTCATTGTCTAAATACTTTTCTTACGTATGAAAGCAAGATACTGCATTTGTTTTTCGTAGCGTGGCAAGGGTTCATCGTTATTAACCTTGGAATTGATGCTTCGTGTTCTGCTAACTTAATTTAGATGAATACTAACCAACACATTCTAACTGCATGTATGTTAAGGAACTGTCTTGTCAAACATGTTAAGCAAGCCGCATCATGTCACCATCTATAATTAGAGTACCCACAATGCACTGGAAGGTTTGTTGTCATGGTTACATAAGAAACACAAGCTGTTAGTTTCAGCATCGTCTATCCTCGGACCCAGAGCATGCTGGGAAAAGCTACGGCTGTTTTGTTTAAGCACTTTTAGCATGTTGAGAGGAGTTTGAACTTTTCAGATTGGAACTATCCGGAACAAACGTGGTTTCCTTTTGTTTATCCTATTTCTTCTTTACTTTGATTCCTTTGATGACTGACGTCATTTCTCATCTTCATCATGTTTTCCTGTGATGAATGTTATTTGCACATTTTCATTTCTTTTGGAATGTTCAGTTTACTTTACAGTTTTGAAGAGTTAACAATAACGATTGTAAATCATAAGCTGATGAATATGGTGAACAGTTGCCATGGTTACTGTCATGTGACAATTTAAGGAGAAATTTGACCATACCAGCAATGTCCAAAGTAAAGTCTTTTATATTTGATTTTAAATTTCTTTTGTTATGCATTTTTGAGTGTTCAAATTTGTAGTAAGTATGGTATCAGTTTGGAACTTTGAAGTGGCTTTCTTCTAAACATGGTTGAACTATTAGTGCACTTTTGGTTGTTTACGTAGCATGCCACAAGTGTGAAAACAGATATACTAACTTCGATTTTTATATTACACGTGCACATATTGTCTAATAGATGCAGCAATGTAACCTTTTGATGAAACGTTCTGAATCCATGCATGAGATTTTCGTTTACATTTCCCCTCATATAGAAGAGTATTTGTTTATGTGAGGAGATGGATGATTTATAATCCTGTAAGTGTAAGTCTTGTATTCTACTTGTTTTGCAGTATCCAGAACACTTTAATGGCCTCTATAAGAGGACTATTTCATCTTTTCCTAAATGTCTATCCCTACTCTCATATATATCCATTGAATGTTAATGGTTGTTTTGATTTGAAGGACGAAGCGATAGAAACTGCGCTTAAAGAATATGGATTAACATAATCCACTTCACAGGTTAGCCCTTAATCCTCATCGCAGCGCTGCTCAGTCGACAGGCTTCGGAGATTCATGTCGTAGTTGTCTCCCTTGTCATGGCAGGCTTTTGTTTCACATGTCAATGTCACTAACTGACACAGGTGTGTAGATGGAACTACAGTCGTTACTGAAGTGGTTTTAGTAAGAGTTACTGTTTCTTAGGCTACCCAATTTGTCCTAGCTCCTGTAATGTTATATTGTTTGACACATCAGATGTCCGAGGATTAAGTTCGCGAAAAGATCGTCCGCCTTAAGTTATTGTATTACGTAACCTGCCTCATCTTACCCATATCTTGTTAATATCGCAAGTAAGGCATTCGTGAATAACAAACAAAACGGAATTTTAAATTCAGTAATGAATGTTTGCTAACTGCCTTCTAATTACAAAAGAAACAAAATCCCATTCTTGTGACATATTGTTTATATGTGATATTTGTTACCATATGTTACCATGGTTACATCTGGATTGAAAAACTTGCCATACTCTTCAGGGTCTTGACATGCTTGAGGATTCACAAAAACAATTGGATGTTAGAGTTAGAGGCTGTTAATAAAATAGACCACAATTTTGTGTTAAAATAATTGTTCAATGTCTGCAATTATCATGATTTCAAAGTAATTTGTCACTTCACAGAACAGAACAATTGGGAGAATCAACAAGATTGATTAACATTGATGAACGTCTCTTTCATCCCAAACTTTGGAAATAAAAATATCCATCACAGCTTATCATCAGCGACTGAGCCATACTCGTGTAAATAAGACATGGAATAGAGTTGGGTTTAAACTGTTCCTGTGTTTCTTTGTGGATCTTGTAATTGGGGAATTCAAAGTCATGTAATATGTATCATGTATTTAAATACGGTATTCGATGTAATAAGTGCCCAGGGCGCTCTCAAAATTAGAAATAGGGGGCTCTTATTAGAATATAATTTTGGTGAGATTAAAAACGAGGTTGAAAGATTGTAAGTTTTGTGGTCAGCCTGAAATGATATAAAAGAAGAATATGTGTGTATTATACACGATAGATATATTTTCGAGAATTTAATTGCCCATATAACAAACGAGTGCGTATTACACACGAATAGATAAGTCTTGTGTTCACTGATCAATCGGAAAGGGTGCTACCTGGGATTGTTCACTGGCCAATATATTAGCAAATAACGCAGTGGGCGCTTATTAGAGCGGGGCGCTTATTACGTCGAATACAATATGTGTGGCATGAAAAATGAAAAACTTTCCTGTAGCTCCTCAATGTTATTTTATCATATGGTGTATCATTTCACATATACTACGTGTTAAAATAATTTATAATTCATGGTCCATTATTTGTCCCGGTGATCCTTCCACAGGTATTAAATGAAGTAATTCCTGAATATATCCCCTGCAATACATAAAACTGTAATGTTTGTGACACTGACAAGTGAAATGAACAGCTTGCCATGGATGACAACAGTTGTTTACCGATGTGTGATCTCTTGCTTTGAGAATGTTGGAATGACTACCACTTCTACGTTATTAGCCAGTCTAGTGCATACTATCTCTCAGTCACCGAATGGGCCAACAGTTTGCATTCTGTGTGAATGTGTTTGGAAGTGTTCTGTTGTGTTTGTCACTGATTTCCATATCGGTCGTGCATCTTCCTCTAATGTGAATGCTGTTCTGTCTATCATGGCTACAAGTTACGCTATATAAATTTAAGCACCATCTTCTATCTGAATACGACTGGGGGGAATCGGATGGCTGAGTGGGATCTGTTCACTTCACAAATTGTTATCTTCTTTTATGGTCACATTAGGCTTAGGAAAAGTTGTGGTGTCAATATTATGGTAACAAGACCAGACCAGAATTGCAACGTGTGCAAAGCTACTTTAATATTTCAAAAGTAAATTAAAAATATGCTAAGTTTGAGTCTTCCACTGCATTCTAGGAGTAAGGTTAGGTAATTTATGAGTATGGCATTAATGTAAAAACATCTTTATCTACAGCTAGAACTTTAAATTTGAAGTTAATATGATCTCTACTCTTATATTATTAAATGCAGGATTCGCTCTAGGAAGTTTCTGACATGGGCCCTTTATGTGAAAATTTTCAAATATTCCAGAGGTACGCCCATACAGAATAATGTTAAAATGCCCCATTGTATTTGAAAATTTAGGCGCTAAAAGCACAAGGCCCCACCCTAGAATTATCCCTGTAAATGTATCAAGTCCTCTGTTTGTTCAGAGCTGGACATGTATTGTAGAATACACTAACATTTTCAAACTCATATCCTTAATATTCTTACACATCATAATTGACCTATTGATCTCATGCATCCCAACTGATTGTGAAGATTTACCAGAATAGCATCCTTCATCTACTGCTAGTACTATAGTCTGATAGTAATGGGTTGGAATCCAAAATATCCCAGTTATGATTCTTGGTCAATCAAGACCACACCTGAACTCTCATGTTCCACATCCCTTGGGCACGCCAGAAACCTTTGATTGTGGGTTTGAATCCCGGTTCGCCCTGATTATGTTTCTAGGTTTGTCAGCATCATACCCGTGCTTGTGGGTTTCACCGATGTGGTAAATGTCTGAGGCCTGCATCACTTTGGGCTTTCCTCCCACATTAAGCTGACATGCCACGGTATAACTGGAATACTGTTAAAAGCGGCGTTAACCCAAACTCGCTCACTCACTCACTCACTCACTCGCTCACTCATGTTCCACAAAAGTGGTAACGGTCTGTGACCACGTCAGTTCGGTCTGTCCTCCCTCTGTAGTTTGCATGGTGTGATTTACTAAAATACTTTCAAATTTGCTCCAAGTCCTGACAACCTCACTGACAGTGTAAGCTTTTTTTTCCATTGTTATTGTGGACAATGTATTCCTGAGTTGGGTCGGGGGCGATATGAAGAGATTACATACAGATTGGTGTGGAAGTTGGGTCGGGGTGATATGAAGAGATTACATACAGATTGGTCTTGTAGTTGGTCATTGGGCAATTATGAAGAGATTACTTACAGTAGTTACGAATTCGTCTGGAAGTTGGTTGGTGTGCAACTATGACGAGATTTCTTACAGAATGGTCTCGTAGTTGGTAAGGATTAGTCCAGAAGTTTGTCAGGGGTTGCTTATTAGAGCAGTGTGGTTAATTCTGTGATTACTGTATTTTGTCGACTCATATTGGCTGAGAGGTTAAGAAATATCTGAAGCAAGAAACCAAATTGGTCTGGCCAGCAAAAAATGTAGACAGTAAAACTTTAAAAGATGGGATATATAACAACTGAATTGGCATTTTCTTTCACACTATGGTTTACTATGTACTGATATGCACGACCACACATAAGGTGGAGTATATATATATATATATATATATATAACATATCTGATAGAGAACCACAGTAACAGACCCAACAGTAGATGTATTATATCTACCAACCTGTCATCAGATATATGTAGAACTAATGCATTATATATCATATCAACATCTGCGGTACATTTTAATTATAATATCCTACATATCTTTATCCGTGCTCTGTCAATCAGTCCATTCACTTCCTAGTCACACTTACCTTGAAAACTAGAAAATTGCTCTTTTGCTGAGATGTTCTTTTGAAAAATATGAATTTCAGAGAGTATGTTTTATTGACATGGCGACAATAGCATTGACAAATAATAAGATAAATAAGTTTCTGGTCTTCCTGCCCTCATAACTTTGTCAGATAATATATAAAGAAATGCGTCTGAAGAACAAAACTGGCAAGGGATATGTGACTAATCTCCTTGTATAACTAGAATATGTACACTTACTAAACACTGTACACTTACGTAATTCACTTACCATAAAAACTATATATGGATGACAAAGCAATCATGTAATATTATATCTGTGAAAGACATAAAAGTTAAAGTGTTTGACATTGTGCCAGTACATTATCAGCTGATCATAGTAGAGTATCTTGTTGTCATGTACCGTATGGTTAAGTAGTTAAGTCTGTTTACTTTCTATGTTGTGTGTATGGTCAGTGCTCTTTGACCTTGTCTTCTGGTAGTCATGGTGATGGTGACCCCTAGGTAGGCTGGTTAGAGAAGCACCTGTTTGTTTTGTTTCAGGCCGTGCCTGTCACTGTTAGAACTTTGAATATGTCTTCCAAGGCTGGAGCTGGGAATGCAGCAGTCAGTGTAACACACTGTAGTTAGGGCTGTGATGACTCAATGAAGTATACTTTGTCATACAAGCATTGTGTGGTGAAGTCATGCATCAGTACAAGATATGTGGGTACCATATTCGACGTAATAAGCACCAAGGGAGCTCTCAAAATTAGAAATAGGGGGCTCTTATTAGAATATAATTTTGTTGAGATAAAAAACAGGGTTGAACAACTGTTGAAAGATTGTTAATTTTGAGGTTTATACTGACAGCCTGAAATGATATAAAAGAAGATTCTGTGCGTATTCTACACGATAGATATATTTTCGAGAATTTAACTGCCCATAATTAAGGGTGCATATATCAAACGAGTGCTTATTATACACGAATGAATAAGTCTTGTGTACATTGATCAATCGGAAGGGGTGCTAATTGGGATTGTTCTCTAGCCAATGTATCAGCAAATATCGCCCTGGGCGCTTATTAGAACGGGGCGCTTATTACGTCGAATATGGTACATGTCAGGATTGCTTACCATATATGATGACTGGTATGCTTATGGTTACTTAATTAGAGAAGTGTTGAGTTTTTATGTGTTTTGGATTGCAACCTAACTTTCAAAATCTGTATCATATCACGAAAGTATGCATTATGACAGCCCTAACTGTAGCTATAATGCCATGTTCAGAAATGTCTCCAGGTAAAACGTGTCTAAACTTGCAGATATTTAGAAATAATGTCTTTTGCTGATGTTTCTGATCAGTTTCCTTCCTCTGGTTTGGATTGGAGAGACAACAAAGTTCTGACAATGACAAGCAAGTCATCCTCACTCTCATTCCTCAAGACAGGGCTTAGTTTAGTTAGATAATTATTTCTGTTGCCATGGATACTTAACAAATCCAAACTCCTTTCTCAGGAGGAGACCCCACAAGGATTCTTCGAAGATCACGGATTAGGATGATTGCTCACAGATTTGCTTCCTAGTCATGTGACCATCAGATGTGATCACATGACCCAATCACATGACACTCATGACCACTGCTATTTCGTGTATTGGACGCCGTCTACGTCAGTTTACAGTCAAATGGTTGTTTTGTATTTAACATACATATGTTTAATTTTTTTTACTAGATGCACTGAATTCCATGACGAAATGATGAACATTTCTAACACAAACGTTGACATTATTTTCCATGCACGTTGGCAAGTTTTATGTTTGGGGATATGACGGTATTCATTTACAAGCTTAGGTTGTGAATTACGTAGCAGCATTGTTGGATTTTGTTTAGTGTGTTGCACTGTATGGTAGGGTGTGCAGATCTCATAAATGGCAATAGGATTTATGACACATCTGGTAATATAGGATGTTGTAACTATGTAAGCAGACGGTTCAATTCACAGGCTTCCAAACTAGCTAGTACCCGGTATCGTTGTATATCCATTAAGATAACATGAGTCTTATGTCACTGAGATACAAAGATAATACTTTCTCTACCTTGATCATGTTGATCTCAAGTCAAATTGTGTCGTCTATTCTGTAGGGTGTTGTTCTGGACAATTAGAGCCTGTTTCAGTCATGTCATGAACTGGTTAAAATAACTGATAACAGTTCACAAGTATTTGCAAAAATGCCAGTTTAACTGAAATGTTATGAACTTAAGTCTCTTTTGAACATTCAGCTTATGATTTCCTTCTTTAGGTGCAAGTAAGCCCTTTCAGATTATATTGATCAGAACCTTCACGTATTAAATTTTGTCAGGTGGTTTATGTTATTCTCGGAGTAAATAAGGATGAAATCAAAGTGAGTGCACAAACAGAATGCTTATCACTGAACAAGTCACTGTCAGTATGAACTCATGCTTGTAAATTTGTATGGACAATTTAGCATAATAAACTTCTGTATGTATCTATGTGTTGTGTGTTTCTTTAAGGAAGATATTGGGAAAGGCTGGATAGTCTCAGAGTGGGAGATCTTTGCTTTTCTCAATAGAAATTTCAAATGAAAATAATTGCTCGCTTGTGCAATAATGTTGCAAAGTCAGATTTACAGTTGTTTTAATGGGAAAACATTCCAAATTATTAATTTAATTTGCTGTCCTGTGTGATATCAAAAGTTGACAAAATAGGTCATGAAAGAATCCATCTTTAAAGTTTTCACACAAAGTGAAGCAGTGCAAGCACTGCCTGAAACCAGTCTGTTGGTCTCTTGTGATCAATAGTGCATGTCAACGAATGAGGGTGTGTGGACATGGTTAATGTTTGCAGTCTGTGAAATAAGGGACAAAAGATATTTCTGTGTTAGAATATTCCAAAAATACTTAGATCCAAAAAAACAAATGTAAATCTGATGTTGCAGCTTAATGTGAGGAAGATTTTCACCGATATCATGTCAGTTTTTGAGATGATATCAAATGATCTGACACAACAGCTTCTGAAATATTCTGAATCTGCCTTGATTGTTCAGTGTATTACATTTCCATTTTGTTAAGATATTATACACTGGACATTTGAGGAGGATTCTGAATGTATAATATCTGCAATGTTGGGCATTACTCCTGCATAGGAAGAATGGAGGAACTCGGAACCTTCTTGGCTGCTGCGTTACCCCTGACAACTGATGATGTGAGTGATAATGACGTCATGGTGTCAACAGTTCAGTCTTAACATATGCATCACTTCCCCATTCTTCAGAACTGTGTTTGGTTCATTCCTATCGGTGTCATCACTCTTTTCCCTTTTTACAGATAATCAAGACTTACTACACTCTGGCTTTGATATTTTATACTGTTCTGAAGTTGTCGTACTTGCCATGGCTGGATATTAATCTACAATTCACTGAGCTTTTCAATAACTATGTAGATTAGTGAGGCATTTTGGCTACCAAGGGATTAACTGAGATAATCTTGACGCTTCATTCTCTAGAATTTAATTTTTTGCATAACAGTTTAATGAACCTGTATTCCTTATTTTCTAAGAGCTTTTTGTCAAAATTATGTTTATTCATTGGAAAAATGTCAACGCAATATTTGTTATGTATGGTATGAAGAGGCCTGTTGGAGCTGAAAGCTTATATTTTTATTGATGCATATATATTTAATTAGTGACACTGTCAAGTATTAGTTGTGAGGTTACTGTTGAGTGACTTGACATGCTGTCTGAAAAAGGTTTATTTGAATTTTCACATATCATGCATATGAGAAGGTAGATAAACGTCAAGGTCTGTCAATCTGTTGTTTGCATTTCAGAATTGATTCAACTTAATGGTTTAGGTAATCCCATCACTAGATGTATGCAAGTTTATGTAACTAAGTCATTGTGGACCCCCAAATATTGTCTGTGTTACGATATTCAGTGGGGCTTTTTTGAAATCCTACGTTCCCATGAATTCAGAACCACATACACAGATATCTGCCACCCTTCACATGTATGCCAGCCTGATTGTCTGTGACAAAACCCTGAAATACATGTCATCCACAGCTATGGTTAATGTGACATAAAGCTGGACACATGTGACTTGAAGCTGGACACATGTGACTTGAAGCTGGACACATGTGACTTGAAGCTGGACACATGTGATTTGAAGCTGGACACATGTGACTTGAAGCAGGACACATGTGACATGCAGCAGGAGACATGTGACTTGAAGCTGGACACATGTGACTATGGTTTATGTGACATGAAGCAGGACACATGTGACATGCAGCAGGAGACATGTGACTTGAAGCTGGACACATGTGACTATGGTTTATGTGACATGAAGCAGGACACATGACTTGAAGCTGGACACACGTGACATGAAGCTGGACACACGTGACATGCAGCAGGAGACATGTGACATGAAGCTGGACACATGTGACATGAAGCAGGACACATGTGACATGAAGCTGGACACATGTGACATGAAGCCTGACACATGTGACTATGGTTTATGTGACATGAAGCAGGGCAGGTGACTTGAAGCTGGACACGTAACATGAAGCCTGACACACGCGACATGCAGCAGGAGACATGTGACATGAAGCAGGACACATGTGACATTCAGCAGGACACATGTGACATGAAGCTGGACACATGTGATGTACATGTTGTACACAGTTGGAATACATGTGACCAAAAGCAGGATATATCTGATTTATAACACCCCAGCATCCCTGATCTTTCATATCACACACATACACAACCAGAGCATGCCCCTGTGTACTAACAACTGCATGGGTTACTAACCAGGTGGACTTAGCATGTCAATACCATACCACATCAGTATATAGTAATGCCCTGTCTGAGGAATGGAGAGATTTGAAATGAGCAATGCTTTGCCCCTGTCTTTATTGTCTCTTGTGCTTTATGCTGGAGTGCATGAAATCTGCATGTTTGTCTGTATATCAAACTGTCATGACTGTGGAGAAACCTTGATGTCCCAAGATAATTTGTTGACCAGTTGAACTAGAGTAAGCTGTTTTTGTTAAGATCTATACTCTTTTATATAATTTCCAGTTATTGAAATATATTAAGGCTTAACTTTTCAGTATTTCAGAATTCATCAGCATGAGTGTTCTAGTAGTAGTACTTGACAAAGTTGAAATTCAAATACTATCATCCATTTGCTTTGACTTAATGCATTATCATTTCTAGGGATCTAGTTTAATGTGCTTTGTGCTTTATTTTGATTTGGCGTGTTTTGTCGCTCATTTCTGTCTCTCCGTTCCCGACAGGAAACTGAAGAACCGAAGAGTATTCTCGAGGAGATGGGATTTACTGTTCCAAGTTAGTGTGCGTCCTTTGTATTGCTGTCGTCATGGTGATACCTCCTTGTTGCCACGGTGATCACACCTGCCTCATGTGCCTACTTTCATGATATATCTCCAAGGCTGAGTGTAAAAACATTGTCAGTTTTCATTTGTTTTGACAAATCAGTGTCAATAAGATAATAATCATTTTAGTGATACAAGACTACACGAAAAAAAATCAAACTGATTAGATAGACAGACATATTAAGTTGGTTGTTTTCTTTTCAACTGAATCATTAATTAGTTTAATGATGTAACTGCTGATAGATCATCTCAATGATGTAGTCCTTTTGGCATGGTGTAGATGCTAAAAGGAACTAGAGTTTAAGTGTGAATGTGATTAGTGATTAGCTGTTGATTAGGAACATGATGGTAGTTTATGAGTAAGCTATCCTGATTCTCTTCATTCATGTTCACTGATTTTGGTTGATGCATGTCATCGATCCCAATTGCGTTCATGGATGCTCATGATATCAATCACTGGATTGTCTGGTCCAGACTCGATAATTTACAGACCGCTGTCATATAGCTGGAATATTGCTGAGTGCGGCGTTAAACAACCAACCAACCAACTTTATCCATGCTGCCATGGTTACTTTTGATTGTATATTTCCTAATATATGTCCTTATGCATTTATAGAGTTGAAGATCTTAGAAAACAATGGTTGGAATGTCATCCACATGTTTGTCTGCATCCTGTAATCTCTGCTTCTCATTGTTCTTGTCATACTGAAGGTGAAGGTCATTAAGAAAAACATTCCAACCTGTTTGAACACTTAAATTGAGACATGTCCATTCATTCCAATGTGAAAGTTGTTAACTAGCCAATCTATGTGACCAAATGTGGAAGTGCTGTTTGATTTGATGGTGTTGTGATGTAATGAATTTAACGAAGCATTGAATAGCCTGTTGTTTGGCAGAATGTTGGATCCTCTTGCCTTCGAAAATCCAGTGTGTTATCAGTGTTCGAAATACCTGCCTGCCCGACCGTCCGAGACGGGTTGATTTCAACTCGGGCTGCCAGATTTTCAAATCCCCCTGCCCGACGGTCGGGTTATATTTCATATGTAAAAATATTCTAAATATTTCCGGATGATAAGCATTATTTACATAATGTATTCTAGGATATTAAATACAAATCTAACCTAAAAAGTGTTTGCTATTTCTTTTCTTGCATTACGTCATGTTCAATGAATTCGATTTAAAGTTTTAATTAAATTATCCTGAGAAACATATGATTATAGTGGGCAGGCAGGTTTTGGTCAGGGCTGGCAAGTATTTCAGCTAGCCAGTCCTGTAGTCTTGCTGAAATATTTTGGAGTTTCATACCCTGGTGTTTTGTCTCCAGTCTAGTGTGATCAGTTCAGCCCATTAGCTATTGAGCCCATGTCATGTACCTTCAGAAATACAACTTGAAGTCCCGGTAGTTTAAGGGCTTACTTTTCCTCATCTTCAAACTCATCTTATCCAGCTAATAGTTTATTATTACTTTTGAAGTAGATCTATGCCTTGCTTTGATTCAGAAGAGTACTGTAGTCGCTGTAATGAACACCCTGGGCACTTTGTAAATTGACTTATTAAAACCATACACATCGAGATACATTTTTTGTCAGAGCTCAAGTAGTAGTGAACAAACACAGTTCAAAATCATTGAAATGAAAACCTTTTTTGGTTAGTAGCCAGCTGTAGACATTCCACACTGCTGTTTTATGCAAAGAAAATCTGTAATATATTCAAGAAAATACAGACTGTCCTGTAAATTAAATTTTCTGTCTGCGTAGGGGGCGCTTATAAAGGTTATGTCCAGATTGGTCTAGAAGGTGGGGGGGTGGCAGATTGGTCTAGAAGGTGGGGGGGGCAGATTGGTCTAGAAGGTGGGGGGTGGGTGGGGCTTATGAAGGTTGCGTCCATATTGGTCCAGAAGGTGGGGGGTGGGTGGGGCTTATAAAGGTTATGTCCAGATTGGTCTAGAAATTGGGGGGTGGGTGGGGCTTATAAAGGTTACTTCCAGATTGGTCTAGAAGGTGGGGGGTGGCAGATTGGTCTAGAAGGTGGGGGGTGGCAGATTGGTCTAGAAGGTGGGGGGTGGGTGGGGCTTATGAAGGTTGCGTCCATATTGGTCTAGAAGGTGGGGGGTGGGTGGGGCTTATAAAGGTTACATCCAGATTGGTCCAGAAATTGGGGGGTGGGTGGGGCTTATAAAGGTTACTTCCAGGTTGGTCCAGAAATTGGGGCAGGGTTTTGATATGGCGGAAGTTTCATGTGTTGTTGATGTCAAGCTGAGAGAAATTCTTAGGGAAAGAGAAAGTTAGTGAGGGGGGACAGACAGGTGATGCCACCCCTGAAACAAAGCTGTGACAAATGGGTCCTGGTTCTTCATAATAATAGAATGGAAGTACAATTCCTTGATGGGGATGTTTGCCTTCACTGTGTGATGTGTGTGGTGATGTCTGAGGCAGGTCAGAGTAGATACACCCACTATTGACGTACAAGTGCACTTAGCATTTACGTGGTTACATGGCCATGTTCTGAATCCTACACATTTGTTGTACAACAAACAGTTGTGTTTTTTGGATACATTTCAACAGCAGTACATCCAGACAAAATACCATTTACAAACAAGTTATTTTTGCATGGGCGGATACAGAGGGGTTGCGCTACCCCCCTTTTTATTTCGAAAAAAAATCTTTATTTCTGTATAAATTACCACCAAAGACAATAAATAGATCTTAATTGTGCACCCCCCCCTTTTAAAAAAAGCTGTATCCGCCCATGTTTTTGTGTCAGAAAACCCCCCGTATTTTTTATCTTAGGCATTTCTTTAGAAAAGCATTGCAATCTTGCCAAGTGAAAGTCATGACGTACGAAATGGGATATACAGTCAAGTCTTGTTAATCCGACACTCGTTAGTCCAACAATTGGCTTTATCCGACACTAATGATGGGAACCGATTAAATCAGTGCTATTTAGACCCGTTAATCTGACAGACTCACACTCCGCTCCGATGCACTTAACTTGCAACGAATTACTGAAATCAATTTTTAATCTGTCTCGTTAATGTTTTAAATAATGCTTTAAAAAAGCAAAACAGGAATAACCACTTGCTTAGATTGCCTCAAACTCATTAAATACAGATACAAGTTCTCACTTCAAGTATTTTGATCCAGTCATACAGTAGTTTTGTGTTAAGCTTTAGAAGTTGCATGATTAGTGAATTATTCCACTAACATAACAAAATGAATATTTCATTTTATATATTTTTTAATACAATGTGATTGTATCGTTATCTATCGTGTAGTTGTCTGATTTTCGATCACGAATGTTGATACTTAAGTTTGTTTATCCGACATACACGTTAATCTGACATAATCAGATGCAGCCAACCATATCGGGTAAATGGGACTTGACTGTCTATTTTTCATCAATATTCCACTCAACCTTCACTTTGTCTCAACTTTGTTATTCAAGAGTTTTCTGCAAACGCCGGGGGCACGGGTGGCCCAGTCGTCCAAGGCACCGCGATTCGCTGTGCAGAGTTGCGTCCCTTAGGCACGCCAGAAACCTATGATTGTGGGTTCGAGTCCCGGTTCGCCCCAATTATGTTTCTAGGTTTGTCAGCACCATTACCGTGCTCGTGGGTTTCACCGAAGTGGTAAACGTCTTAGACCTGCATCACTTCGGGCTTTCCTCCCACATTAAGCCAACACGCCGTGATATAACTGGAATACTGTTAAAAGCGGCGTTAAACCCAACTCACTTACACCACTTCTGCAAACGCCATTACAATCACATGTTAAATAAGGATCACAAGATCAATCTATTTTGATACTTAGATAGTTGAATATATGTAGTTAGCTTTGCATTGCAGCACCAAAATACCCATTTGAAAACCAGAGCACATGCTGTCATGCTTAGTCAGGGTATCAAGGTTCACACTTTTATATATAGCCTTACAGTTTTTTGTACATTTAAGTAATATTTTAACCAAAGTTGTATGTTTCACAGTGAGATATAATGCCACTAATATTTATTTATTGTTACATAATCAAGGTTAACATGATTGAAAGAAACTTAAAATGTAAAACAATGTAAAGGTCAAATTATGTAACAAATATCCATGTATTTTCTATGGGATGTTGCATAAATTCATCTGTCAAAAACCATTATTATCTATTTTTACTGTTTGATGTCAAATATTACGTGAATCAAACTGTGATGTGGAAGAGGGGTCTCTATTGTTGAATTGTTGGTTGTATTTTTCCCATGAGAGGCACCAATAAACAGTTACATGTATGAACTTGTTGTCTTTTTTTATATAGAAAAATATCCAGGACTGCAGATGTTTCATGTGTAATGAGGGGCGGTCGGGTAGCCTAGTGGTTCAAGCGTTCACTCATCACGCCGAAGATCCAGATTCGATTCCCGACATGGGTACAATGTTGGAAGCCCATTTCTGGTGTCCCCCGCCGTGATATTGCTGGAATATTGCTAAAAGCTGCGTAAAACCATACGCACTCACTCATGTTGAATGACAATGGCACAGGTCCTAAGACAGCTTGATGACTTGTTTGTCCACACATGACCTTCGTAATGAATTCAAGCTGGAGGTCAGGGAGTGGACGGGTCACTTTCAGGCTTGTTGCTATTTGCAGTGCAGTTGCATCCATGGCACAATTCTCTCATAACAGAGAAAGTTTGGTCCCGGAGAAATGTGTAACTGTCAAACGTGTAAATTATAATTAAAATGTTTCTTAAAGGGCATTGGCACATCACTATTAATTCTGCGCATCAGTTGTTTATATTGCAACAGTACTATACTAATATATCTGGATGCCTTCAGGTCCAGCTCGATGATGACCTTGACTGGGTTCGTTGCCCTTGTTAAAAGTGTGAGTGAGTTTGGATTTACGTCGCTTTTAGCAATATTCCAGCAATATCATGGCGAGGGACACCAGAAATGGGCTTCACACATTGTACCCATGTCGGGATTCGAACCCGGGTTTTCGGCATGATGAGCGAACGCTTTAACCACTAGGCTACCCGACCGCCCCCACCTTGTTAAGAACCAGGTTATGAATGTCATGTACTTTTGCATCACTATTCAATGTCATTCCAACTGCATACTGTGAAACTGCTGGAAAAGTATCGTCGACGTCACACAGGTCCTTTGTTTTACACAGTACATGAAGCACAAGATGAGAGATTCCATAGGTTCCAATGACCAACAAGAAGGATCTGTGAGGTTCCATACCAGTTTCTCCTAGCTGTCTGGAACATTGTCTTTGTTTGTTTGTTGCTTTAACGCCGCACTCAGCAATATTCCAGCTATATGACCGCATTCTGTGAGTAATCGAGTCTGGACCAGACGATCCAGTGATTGACATCATGAGCATCGATCCACGGAATTGGGATATGATGACATGTATCAACCAAGTCAGTGAGCCTGACCATCCGATCCCGTTAGTTACCTCTTACAATAAGCATAGTCGCCTTTTACGGCAAGCATGGTTTGCTGAAGACCTATTCTACCCCGGATCTTCACGGTCGTTTCAAATAGGACACATGTCCTCTATCTTTCATAACCTGATAGCCATGATGAAAACAAGTAAACAAGTTTATTGTAACAGATGGTTTATTCTGAAGTTTATAGTGAAACACGGATAAAGGAAAAACTCTTTGGAAGGTAGCACTGATGTCTATTCTGTAATAAATATGAGCCTGTGGGATACAACCATGAATGTCCCATGGCACTCCGACACAACAACACTTGAATACCTATGACCTCATCGTCAGAAAAGTAATTTGAACGGACGACAACTTCCCTATTTTCACTGTTGTGACATTTTGATGCTGATACCAGCCATTTTATCAAGCATGTGCTGGTATCTGCTACAGTGTAATTACTGGGAGGGTGAACACTACTTTCAACAGCCATGGGCTGTTCCATCGTCTTGTCCAAATAGACTCACAATTCGAAACTTACCACACTTACAATCCTGCCATAATGAATCAAAATCCCACAAAACCTGCAACGTGAATCACTTCCTAAAACACTTGCCTTCAAATGTGTGTTATGTACTAATATTTTCAGTCATCAAACTTCTAGGTACTTATCGGGTTGGAATCATGGAGAGGGTACAGATGTTTTTTCCAACTCGATAAGTATAGATGTTGCATGATCTAAAATATAGGTACCATATTCGACGTAATAAGCATGATAAGCGCCTGTGGCGATATTTGCTAATATATTGGCTAGTGAACAATCCAGTTAGCATCCCTTCCAATTGATCAATGTACACAAGACTTATTTATTCGTGTCTAATACACACTCGTGTGTTATATGGGCAATTAAATTCTGGAAAAATATATCTGTTGTATATAAACATTTCAGGCTGTCAGCATTAACCACGAAATTTACGATCTTTCAACTTTTTTTCATCAAAATAATATTCTAATAACAGCCCCCTATTTCTAATTTGGAGACCGCCCTGGGCGCTTATTACATCAAATACGGTACTTGTATAAAAAGGCAAGTGTCTTCATTGACATCTTCATCTTTTCATTGACATTATGGCAGGGTTATCAGTGCAGTTAGTTCAAAAATGGGAATCCATTAGGAAAACACTATGGGTAAGGCCATGAGGTGAGGTGAGGTGAAATGGGGTTTAACGTCGCGTCCAAGATTATTGCACTTATATAGTCCGGACTGATGCCGATTTATAGTGCTAGCTCACTGAGATACCATGCCGCAGTTTAACATGATTATCCCACTTAGACACAGTATACTGGCTCTGAGCCGACCAGTCTTTGTTTTAGCCCCTTAATGCCAAGCGCCAGACAGGGTAACAACAAGTACCATTTTTTAACGTCTTTTGGTATGACGCAGCCGGGGATCAAGGTATGACACAGAGAAGAACCTACACACTACAAGGAATCAGGAGATATCTGTCCCGAGTGAAAGAATAGTGCTCCACCTCGACAAGTGAGTGAGTGAGTGAGTATGGTTTTATGCCGCTTTCAGCAATACTCAGCAATATCACAGCAGGGGACACCAGAAATGGGCTTCACACATTGTACCCATGTCAGGATCTGAACGCTTTAACCACTAGACTACCCAACCGCCCTTATAAGAAGAAAGAAAATGAAGAAACATTTATCATGTTTATGGAATGTTACCCTGTACATGCTGTAAACATGTTAAGTCAACCTGGTATTCAAATGACAATGTTATATTTCATGAAGACTTCAACTAAGATGCACATGTAACGATATATCAGAAAGTTATTTCTCTCCATCTTTCTACCCATGTAGGTAATATAACAAAGTGTCCAATACCAAAATATATCAGTAGAAAAATGTAATGAAAGTATGTAAGTGTCGGACAAACTGACCTTGAGCAATACATACTGGTAAGTAATCGTGCAAAAGACCATGTGTATAGAGACATATGAATTGCCATGTGCATCAATCTAACTTTCAGAGAGAATGTGTAACGCTTAGGCTAAAATACATAATAGTCTTGGTTCTCAGGCACAGCCTGCATCATCATTAAGTAGGCCGCATTTTTCGGGGGGTTTTCCCATTTAAAAAACACAAACAAAATCCTAATCCTAAAAAACATGCGACCCAAAATAGCATGCAGTTACTTCCCTTTACATGTGCACTGCTTTACTGCTCATCTCGTGTTATGGTCATGGTGGCAATAGGGGTTTGTATGCTTGTTCATGTAGGGAGGTCCTTTCCCAGGTTGATGGTACACTGTGTATTTGGTTACATACTAATTTGAACAAGCAAAAACACCTCCCGCCCAAGTATATTTTCAAAAGTCATTGCCTGAGAACCAATTCTTTTATTTTTATAAGCCTTCATACCACAACAGGGTTAATGTTAACCATTGTTCATTCTGAGCTTGTGACGCACCGAGAAGACTCTGACAATCACAACCTTAAAGACAAGATCAGTTTTTTTAGGTCACTTTACACATACACATCTTCAAATATGACATCACCGAGGTCCTCCTCGTCACTGCCCTGTGGAATCTCGATTATGTTGGGTTTGCCATTATGATCCTCCAGAGATTCAGGATCACTGATGGATTTACTGTTGTGATCCTCCAGACATTCTGGGTCATTGATGGGTTTGCCGTTGTGATCCTCTACAGATTCTGGGTCAAAGATGGGTTTGCCGTTGTGATTCTCCACAGATTCAGGGTGAGGATCTGATATTGGTGAAACTTTAGTCTTAGGTTTATATTTTTCTGAATTTTTCTTTTTGTGACTTTTATGTTTATGTTTTTTATGCTTTTTGGACTTTTTGTGTTTTGTTTTAGAGTCACTACGATGGGACTTGCTTGTTTCTGAATCACTATCACTGGAGCTATCTGTGTTTTTAACTTTATTTGTTCCGTTTGATTCAAATGCTGACTGGCCATTACTGGAAGATCTAACATTTTCCATGGAATGTGACGGTGATCTTGACCTGCGACTTTTTGATCGTGAAATCCTTTTACTTGATCTTGATGGAGATCTAGAATCTGATTTGTAATGTCTCTTAGTGTTTGCTTCTGGTGAGACTGGAGACCTTGACTTACGAAGTTTTGACCTTCTTGATTGTGGTGACCTTGAGCCAGACCTGTGTCTGATTGATCTAGATGGGGATCTAGATTTGCGACTTCTTGACCTTGACCTCTTTCGACGTGACCTTGATGGAGACCTTGATCTGGATCGGTTTCCTCTTTTAGATTTTGGTGACCTTGACCGTGACCTTGACCTGTCATGCCTTCTACTTTTGTATCTATTGTCATAACTATGATCCCGACCCTCATGATCAAACCTGTCTCTGTGTGAATAACGATCTCTTCTGTCGGACCCATACCGATGACGGCTATCCCTTCTGTCTGAACTTCGATGGTCTCTCTCAGACATTTCATAGTCTTTATCTGCCAGCCAGAATTCATTCCCAGGGTTCCTGAATACATGGAGGAAGTTGCAAGATTTTCCCTTTGGACACCTCTTGACAAAAGCCAGACCTGAGGATGAAACAAGTCCAGTATATGTTCATACCAAATCAATGTAAATGTGATAAGATTTCGTTTTTTTGTTTGTTGAAGGATGCAATTAGCAATATTCAAACTATAACACACAAACTATGTCCCACTATCCTGGTGTGAAGACAAATAAATCATTAAGTAACTAAGCCTAAGCACCCGATCCAGTTGATCGCCTCTTACGAGTGAGTGAGTGAGTAAATACTGCTTTAAGACGATTGAGCAGTATTGCAGCTATTCACGACTATGCCTCTTACATCAACCTACGTTACTGGGGAGCAATTTTAACCAGGAATCCCTGATGAGGTGAGGTGAGGTGAGGCGGGGTGGGGTGGATTGGGGTGGGGTGGGATGGGATGTGGTGGGGTTTGGTTTGGTGGGGTGGGTTCGGGTTGGGTTGGGTTGGGTTTGACATCACCTTCAAGATTATTGCACTTAGTGTGTGTGAGTGTGGCTGCTTGTAGTGGTCCGGACATGCCAGTTTATATAGTGCTAGCCCTCTGAGATACCATACTGTAGTTTAACATGGTTACCCTAATCAGACACAATATACAGATTTCAAGCCGACCAGTCCTTGTGTTAGTCCCTTACTGCGAGCACCGGGCAAGGTATTGGAGCACATGGTCTGTACAGCAACACACAACAAATGCTGGGGAACACTGTATCAAGGGTACCCCACAGCTGAAACTGGAGACTATTCTACTATGTCAAATCAAACAAATCAGTGTCTTGTACAGTAACAGCTGAATTGTGAGTAACACTGGTTGAATTTGAACAGGTCACTCTGAACAGGTCTGTAAATAATAAAGTCTGGACCAGACAATCCAGTGATTGACATCACAAGCATCAATCCACGCAATTGGGATACCATGATGTGCATCAAGCAAGTCAGCGAGCCTGACCACCCGATCCCATTAGTCGCCTCTTATGACAAGCATGGTCGCCTTTCACGACAAGCATGGGTTGCTAAAGACCAACTGTAACCCGGAATCTTCACAGGTCATTGATTCTGTGTTCATCATAACCATGCTCTACTGTGATGACTATCTTGTACGACATGCTGACTGACATACCACATATCGCTGACTTCCACTTGGCAATGTTGATGAAGATACAAGATATCTGACGGCCTCCGTACCACCGGCCATTGAACTTGACAAACGCCTTCTGAGCATCATCCTCGCTGGGAATATAACATCAGTTATCAAGTGATACAATACTACTATACTAACGATCAAAACATTTGTCAGAGCTTGTGTTCAACAAACCTAATGTCAAAAACATGTAACAAACCAAAAACATATCGAAAACATAGTAAACTGCCTTACCAATCACTATTTTCAACATGTTCCCACTCTTTTCAGCATGTTCAGAGAACAGCTTAACAATGGCAGACATGACAAATTCCTGCTGAAACTACTTAAATTTCATATCTTGCTGTGTTATTCTGGAGTTGCTCAAGTCTACATTGAACAAAGTCATCAATATTTACCACTTAGTCACAGGAGCAGGTGCAGACACACCAAGAACCATAATGGGGACAAATCTGGGATTCAAACCCACCCACTGAGCCTTGTTCCACAAAGTTGGTTGGTTGGTTGGTTGGTTGGTTGGTTTGTTGTTTAATGTCTCACTCAGCAATATTCCAGCTATATGACGGCGGTCTGTAAAATAATCGAGTCTGGACCAGACAATCCAGTGATTGACATCATGAGCATCGATCCATGCAATTGGGATCAATGACATGTATCAACGAAGTCAGTGAGCCTGACCACCCGATCCCGTTAGTCGCCTTTTACGACAAGCAAAGTCGCCTTTTACGGCAAGTATGGGTTGCTGAAGACCTATTCTACCCCGGAATCTTCACGGGCCTTGTTCCACAAAGTAGCCCGACAAAGCTAGACTATTGTTCACATTCAACACCTATGCGGACAATGAGTGAGTGAATATGGTTTTATGTCGCTTTTAGCAATATTCCAGCAATATCACGGCGGGGGTATACCAGAAATGGGCTTCACACATCGTACCCATGTCGGAGAAATGGACTGTCAAAGGAGCTGGACAAGCAGCACCTACCGTCTGTACTGGACGTAGACATTCCCCCGCAGATGTGGCTCGCAGTTGCAGCTGACCTTGAACTGTATGACCCGACCCATACTGCGGAACTCCGGTAGCACGTCGTTGTAGAACTCCATGAAGTTCTCATACAGCTCACTGTCATCATACTCCAGAGCCAGATCTGTGGAGAAAAGCAGTGGATTGTTGTCTAAGTAGACACAATTTATGGTTGGTTGGTTTGTTGTTTAACGCCGCACTCAGCAATATTCCAGCTATATGACGGCGGTCTGTAAATAATCGAGTCTGGACCAGACAATCCAGTGATTGATAGCATGAACATCGATCCACGCAATTGGGATCAATGACATGTATCAACCGAGTCAGCGAGCCACAATTAATGGATAACAACTTCTTTAACTACTGTAAAGGCGACATTTCAGTATAGATCCTTATAAGGTTGTCAAGCAGTTCTGTGCCCTCAAGATTTGTTTGTTGTTCAGCGCTGCACTCAGCAATATTACAGCTGGACCAGACAATCCAGTGATTGATATCATGAGCATCGATCTACGCAATTGGGGTACGATGACATCCAACCAACAAGTCAGTGAGGTGGCCACCAGATCCCTTTTGTCACGTCTTATGACAACCATAGTCATCTGTTACAGTTGCTGAAGACCAGGGTATGAAACTCCCAAAAATTTCAGCCAGACCACAGGACTGGCTAGCTGAAATACTTGCCAGCCCTGACCAAAACCTGCCTGCCCACTATAATCATATGTTTCTCAGGATAAGCTAATGGGGTTTCTTTTTGGTTACATTTTATCATTCATCTTTACATGTGAATTAATGCTTATCATCGGGAAATATTTAGAATATTTTCACATATGAAATATAACCCGACCGTCGGGCAGGGGGATTTGAAAATCTGGCAGCCCGAGTTGAAATCAACCCGTCTCGGACGGTTGGGCAGGCAGGTATTTCGAACACTGTGAAGACCTATTCTAACCCGATTGTCAAGATCTTCGTGCCCTAAGAGAGTTGAGACTATCACAAGGCTATCGACAAAGCTTCCTATGTTATACCTATGAACAGAACACATGCAAGCTCTCACCTGTGTCATTCTCATCCACCAAGCTCTGCTCCAGGCGGAAGTTGGCGAACATCCCGGGCAGCATAATGGTGCAGCTGGACTCGGGGTACGTGTGTGACCGCGAGCACCTGGGGAAACAACACACACATAGCTCAAGGATAACAACCAATCAGCTGGACTCGGGGTACGTGTGTGACTGCGAGCACCTGGGGCAACAACACACACATAGCTCAAGGATAACAACCAATCAGTTACCATGGTGCAGCTGGACTCGGGGTATGTGTGTGACCGCGAGCACCTGGGGCAACAACACACACATAGCTCAAGGATAACAACCAATCAGTTACCATGGCGCAGCTGGACACGGGGTATGTGTGTGACCGCAAGGACCTGGGGAAACAACACACACATAGCTCAAGGATAACAACCAATCAGTTACCATGGTGCAGCTGGACTCGGGGTACGTGTGTGACCGCGAGCACCTGGGGTAACAACACACACATAGCTCAAGGATAACAACCAATCAGTTACCATGGCGCAGCTGGACTCTGGGTACGTGTGTGTGACCGCGAGCACCTGGGGTAACAACACACACATAGCTCAAGGATAACAACCAATCAGTTACCATGGCGCAGCTAGACTCGGGAAACGTGTGTGACCGCGAGCACCTGGGGCAACAACACACACATAGCTCAAGGATAACAACCAATCAGTTACCATGGTGCAGCTGGACTAGGGGTACGTGTGTGACCGCGAGCACCTTGGGCAACAACACACACATAGCTCAAGGATAACAACCAATCAGTTACCATGGCGCAGCTGGACTCGGGAAACGTGTGTGACCGCAAGCACCTGGGGCAACAACACACACATAGCTCAAGGATAACAACCAATCAGTTACCATGGCGCAGCTGGACTCGGGAAACGTGTGTGACCGCGAGCACCTGGGGCAACAACACACACTTAACTCAAGGATAACAACCAATCAGTTACCATGGCGCAGCTGGACTCGGGAAACGTGTGTGACCGCGAGCACCTTGGGCAACAACACACACATAGCTCAAGGATAACAACCAATCAGTTACCATGGCGCAGCTGGACTCGGGAAACGTGTGTGACCGCAAGCACCTGGGGCAACAACACACACATAGCTCAAGGATAACAACCAATCAGTTACCATGGCGCAGCTGGACTCAGGAAACGTGTGTGACCGCGAGCACCTGGGGCAACAACACACACTTAACTCAAGGATAACAACCAATCAGTTACCATGGCGCAGCTGGACTCGGGAAACGTGTGTGACCGCGAGCACCTGGGGCAACAACACACACATAGCTCAAGGATAACAACCAATCAGTTACCATGGCGCAGCTGGACTCGGGAAACGTGTGTGACCGCGAGCACCTGGGGCAACAACACACACATAGCTCTAGGATAACAACCAATCAGTTACCATGGTGCAGCTGGACTAGGGGTATGTGTGTGACCGCGAGCACCTGGGGCAACAACACACACTTAACTCAAGGATAACAACCAATCAGTTACCATGGCGCAGCTGGACTCGGGAAACGTGTGTGACCGCGAGCACCTGGGGCAACAACACACACATAGCTCAAGGATAACAACCAATCAGTTACCATGGCGCAGCTGGACTCGGGAAACGTGTGTGACCGCGAGCACCTGGGGCAACAACACACACATAGCTCTAGGATAACAACCAATCAGTTACCATGGTGCAGCTGGACTAGGGGTATGTGTGTGACCGCGAGCACCTGGGGCAACAACACACACATAGCTCAAGGATAACAACCAATCAGTTACCATGGTGCAGCTGGACTAGGGGTATGTGTGTGACCGCGAGCACCTGGGGCAACAACACACACATAATGAGGATTATGAACAATCAGTACCACTGTTTTGGTATTGTGATGACTAATTTGTGTTGGTTTTTTTTCTTTGATGTAGTTGGTGATGAATGTGATGGTGGTTTGATGCCGATCCCCGTCACCCCAAAAGACGTCAAAAGAGAGTACTTGTTGTTACCCTGCTTGGCTCTTAGCATAATGGGGCTAATACAAGGACTGGTCAGCTTGGAGTCAGTGTACTGTGTCTGAGTGGGTTATCTCAAACTGCAGCATGGTGTTTCGGTGCAAGTCTACATAAATCTGCAGTCTCCAAGTCTACATAAATCTACAGCAATCACTCCATTGGCCAGTCTGCAAGTCTACATACATCTGCAGTCTCCAAGTCTACATAAATCTGCAGTCTCCAAGTCTACATAAATCTACAGCAATCACTCCACAAGCTAGTCTGCAAGTCTACATAAATCTGCAGCAATCACTCCACAAGCCAGTCTGCAAGTCTACATAAATCTGCAGCAATCACTCCACAAGCCAGTCTCCAAGTCTACATAAATCTGCAGCAATCACTCCACAAGCCAGTCTGCAAGTCTACATAAATCTGCAGCAATCACTCCACACGCCAATCAGCAAGCCTACATGATCTACAGCAGTCATTAACCAGTCAACATCTTCACTAATCATTCTCTAAGTAACTCGCAATCATATCCCATCAAATGTCTTCTCTGTAGCAAGCTGTACCGTTCCGCAAATCTGCAAGCCCCTGTCTTCATGAAGAAGGGGCACTCGTCTCGGTCCTTGCCGTACATCATGGGGGCTATAGGGTTGTGCCAGGCATCCTGAAATACAATACATCAGACTTGTCTCAGCAAATGTATCAACAATGAACAAATAGATATACCGTATTCGTCGTAATAAGCGCCCAGTGCGCTCTCAAAATTAGAAATAGGGGGCTCTTATTAGAATATTAATTTGGTGATAAAAACATAGTTGAAAGATATATTTCGTGGTTTATGCTGAATTTAATTGCCCATAATTAAGGGTGCATATAACACACGAGTGCATATTATACACGAATAAATAAGTCTTGTGTACATTGATCAATCGGAGGGGTGCTAATTGGGATTGTTCACTAGCCAATATATAAGCAAATATCGCCGTGGGCGCTTATTAGAACGGGGCGCTTATTACGTCGCATACGGTAGTTCCTTATTTATTATTCACAAAATTAGACAGAAAAAAATAACACTAGTGGCAATATACTGGTAGATACCAACTGAAACAATATGCAACCAAGTTAAAGTATTTTTCACACTTCTTTGTCTGCCTTGTATCCTATTAGTGTAGGAAGTAATGCTGTTAATATGGTAAAGCAGACTTGACATGGTTTCATAATGATTGTCTGTAATAATGTGTCATGAGAGAACAATGTGATAGTCTTCAATTTCATACACCAAATGTAATTATAACAAACACCCAGCAGCACTTCGCAACCTCTGACCCATGCTTTGTGAGTGAGTGAGTGAGTGAGTATGGTTTTACGCCGCTTTTAGCAATATTCCAGCAATATCACGGCAGGGGGCACCAGAAATGGGCTTCACACATTGTACCCATGTCGGGAATCGAACCCTGGTCTTCTGAGTGACAAGCGAACGCTTTAACCACTAGGCTACCCGACCGCCCCGACCCATGCTTTGTAACACACACTTTTTCAAGTCTTTGCCTCAACCATTTGTTCTTATTTGTAGCCACAAGAAAATGTCTGCGATTCACAAGAACTGAATGTGTAAGATCCCAATGGTTTCGGGTTCAAGTAGCATGTTACCTTGTTGTCGCTGGCTGTAGCTTGTTGAAGTAGTTGAGCCTGTGGACACCACACACCACGGACAGTGAAACAGAGAGCATGTCATGTCTACATGATACCGGTGTTAAGTCAACTTTCAGCAATGTTTTTTTGTATTGTTTGTTTGTTGTTTAACGCTGCACCCAGCCATATTCCAGCTATATGACTGCGTTCTGTAAATAATCGAGTCTGGGCCAGACAATCCAGTGATAAATATCATGATAATCGATCCAAGCAATTGAGACAATCCAGTGATTGACATTACGAGCACAGATCCACACAACTGGGATATGATGACATGCATCAACCATGTCAGCGAGCCTGGCCATCCGATACTGTTAGTCACCTGTTGAGACAAGTACAGTCCCATCTTAAGACAAGCATGGGTTGCTGAAGACCGATCTCATTAATGGCAGGTATAATTGGCATATATCATGGTTGGTGGCACCAAGATGTCAGACACTGTACTGTTACACTGATGCCAATGATGGTTGATGAACTTAATGGGTCAATACGATGATCAACAGTAATCACATCTATCTGAAGGATCTACTGTTAGTGCCTTGGAAAAGTTACTGCCAAAACATGTTTCGAAAACACTTCAAATTTCACTGAAAATTAAATTATAAAAAAGAAAAGAACTTGATGTAATGAATGGTGTTTCCCCCTGTCAGCAATATGACAGCTACATCGTGGAGATATGTCCTGAGCATCAATACTATCATGCACCAAACAATCCAGTGGTCGAAAGTGTGAGCAAAATACCATCTGTTATATCACTAAATGACCCACAATCAGCCATAGTGGAGCTGAGTGGTCAGGTCGGCGAGCACTGAAGACATCAACTGTGACCACCCAATCTGATCGGGGTCAGCTGATACAAGCAGGGTGTACAGGGGGCGACACTGCCCCCCTGAATCCCCACAGAGTGTCATGGAACATTGTGAGACACAACAAAGTCAACATATGATAAAAGATACAACATTCTTGAGAAGAACTTGAGAGAGTTGTGTCCCTGTATAAATGTACTGACGTTAAGGAAATGTTGAAAGCATCTGACACAGAACTACTTCAATATCATGTACATGTATTCATTTTCACACGTTGCTCCACTAAGGATACTCAGGTAGTGAACCCGGGGTTCAGGGACCGTATCACAACACGTGATGACCAAGTATCCGTACATACCACTGTGTACGTTTGTATCGGATCCTACACCATGCTACACAGTAAAATAAACATCAATTTCATAAAAAAACATTTTGTGTCAATCTTTATGAAGATTTTGCAAAAGCCCATTTATATCAAGGGTTAGTTTTAAGTAGAATGACAAAGTTTAGGATTTAGAAAAACTTAAATAATTGTTCTGAAAATTATTGAAAGGTTTGTGTGTATGAGATAATGCGTTTCTCTTTTCAACAATTTAAAATGTTTGACTTTGGGACGACAAAAGTTCTAAACAGCATATTAAATACTGAAATAGATGTTGTATGTTGGTAACCTAGCCTGGCAAATCTGTTACCCAAATAAACTGATTTGAAAAAATATTTTAGCTGATGGTCTTTTCGACATTTATATAATATTTCGATTAGTTCTAAAAGTTGTCCATCTCAATTTGAGTGTGTCTAGAGGACCCTTGTCATACCTCCTTCTTTCACTCCCATTCTAACAGAGACATAAGAGACATCAGTTAGGCGTAATGCCTTTAAAAGCTGCTTATTGTTTTGCATAACACAACAAGAGGATAACCGTGGTGATGTACTGTGTGTAGGATATAGAACGTCCACCAGGGTCTCGCTCCACGTCACCTGTTTCTCCTTCTTCTCTCTATTTATCTTTTCCCTTTCCTCTTCTTCCTCCTTCTCCTTCTTCTGTCGCTCCTCCCACTCCTCACGGATCTTTTGCTTTTGGAAGAATTATGTGAAAAGGAAATATGTAGTCAAGAAAAAGACAATTTCAAATATAACACAACAGCACAGGTAATACCGTATTCAACGTAATAAGCGCCCTGCTCTAATAAGCGCCCACGGCGATATTTGCTAATATATTGGCTCGTGAACAATCCCAGTTAGCACCCCTTCCGAATGATCAATGTACACAAGATTTATTTATTCGTGTATAATACGTGTGTTATATGCATCATTGATTATGGGAAATTAAATTCTTGAAAAATATATCTGTCGAATATAAACATTTCAGGCTGTCAGCATAAACCACGAAATTTACGATCTTTCAACTCTGTTCTTTTTCACCAAAATAATGTTCTAATAAGAGCCCCCTATTTCTAATTTTGAGAGCGCTCTGGGCGCTTATTATGCCGAATACGGTATGCTATTTTCGGTTACTGACCCAGAACTTGCCCCCATTCCACTGAGCAATCAAGGCGTGAAGATGATTGCAATCTCATAGCTTTAAACTGACATGGCACGAAGATCGTAATCTCAAAGCTTAACATTGACATGGCACGAAGATCGCAATCTCATAGCTTCACATTGACATGGCACGAAGATCGCAATCTCATAGTTTCACATTGACATGGCACGAAGATCGCTAGGTGGAGAGGGGTCCTGGGCCTCAATCTGGTAACTTCACTAACTATCCTAGTGCGAAGACTGCCATAACTCCCATAGTAAACATATTAAAACATCAGATTTGAGAAAGCTGTATGACAATCATTTAAAAGTGTGACTGTTTTTATGACATGAGACTCTAATCAAGCACTTCAACATCCTGTGAATTATCAGCAATAGAAACTAACTGTTTTAGTCCACTAGTCTTTCTGATAATAACCTATAGTAAAACCCTTAATAATGGCAAATTTCCACTTGTCCTTATGATACCTTAACTACTGGGCAGTTTGGCAAGGACTACAGGATGTGCCAATTTCTAACACTGATTATACCTCCACTTCCAGTCTCCGCTCTATTTCCTTCTTCTCTCTCTCCTTATTGGCCAGCCATTCTTCTTCTGCTTCCTTCTCTCGTTCCAGCCACAGCTGATGCTGTCGTTGCCTCTCCTCCTCCTGGGCCTGTAGCGCTGCCTCGTCCTCCGACTCACTCACAGATCCAACTGTAACAAACACCCTTCATTAGCCACATGACCCGTGAAGAGCCGGGGTAGAATAGGTCTTCAGCAACCCATGCTCGCCGTAAAAGGCGACTATGCTTGTCGTAAGAGGCGACTAACGGGATCGGGTGGTCAGGCTCGCTGACATGGTTGATGCATGTCATCGTATCCCAATTGCATGGATCGACGCTCATGATGTCAATCACTGGATTGTCTGGTCCAGACTCGATTATTAACAGACCGCCATCATATAGCTGGAATATTGCTGAGTGCGGCGTTTGACAACAAACAAACAAAAATCATTAGCCACACACAAGTCCTGACCATTACTCAGGCTCACAAACTTACCAATGTGTCTATTGTATTTATTAAGTTCATGTAGCAATTAAAACATGAAAGATATGGAAAGCAAGTTCAGCAACATTCAAGATGCAAGGCTTTCAAGCTGAATCACAGACAGGGACACCAAGATTTGGTTTCACACCAAGTTGGGAATCAACCCGGGTCTTCAGTGTGATCAGTTGACGCTTCAACCACTGGTCTACATTACCACACCATCATATAGCTGGAATTATGCGGAGTGCTGTGTTAGCGAATAAACAAAAAGTGCCTTCAATTTAGTGACGCTAGAATATGTAAAAGTTTCAGAAAGGCTCATATTAGAATACACTGAGACCTTGTTGACTCCATCCATTTGATACTGGCCTCAAAGTTGCGACCTAAATTTCAAATTGTCTACTGTCTAAAATTCAGAGGTAGCCAAATGGCTTCCACATATGTAGACACAAAAATAAAGAACAGCTGATCTTAGAAAACATGTCTGCTAATAATTGTACTCGCGAATAATTCCTCCTAAAGTTGACAATAAACCGAAATACATTAATATTAATGCAATTAGTATTTTATTTTAGTTGACAATGCTCATTGGATAAGCAAGGATATACCTAGTAACATAATTGCATCACTGTTCGAGTCAAAAATAACAAACATCAAGTACAGTATCCACTAATATACAATTCCAAGACTAGTGCTATGACTTGTACATATTATAATAGTTATTTGATAAAAGATGATTTCAAATGCTTTTGGCTACCTACAATATTGGCTTGACTTCTTGATCTTACCACTTGCTACCTGGAAAAAAATACTGGTAGCCATATGGCTACTTGACCAAAAATTAAACTTTGAGGCCTGTGATAGAGTGCTGAAGATTGTGTAGCTTAATCATGTTTACGGTCCCTGGAGGTTGTTTAGAAGGTCACAAGAACATTGAGTTCATAACGTTCCACCTTTATGTCGTCGGGTAGCCTAGTCGTTAAAGCGTTCGCTCGTCACGCCGAAGACCCGGGTTCGATTCCCAACATGGGTACAAAGTGTGAAGCCCATTTCTGGTGTCCCCAGCCGTGATATTGCTGGAATATTGCTAAAAGCGGCGTAAAACCATACTCACTCACTCACTCCACCTTTACGTTATGCAGAAATTGGTTAGTGAGAAACATTTTTTATGTGTATACCTTTGTCATGTGATTTCTGCTGATCTTCCTCTTGTCGCTTTGCTCGTCTTTTCTGTTTGCGCATCATGGCTTTCCACTTTCTGTGACTGTAAACATGGTAAACGCAAGACAAATTGAAAAAAACACACACCTAAATCTTGTTTGGGTTTTTCAAGGCCTGCTTATATTCATTAGACTTAGAGTCAGGGAGTACAATTGACAGCAACACCTTTTCACAATAAAAATCATAACGATAAATCATAACAAAATTAAGATTTGGTTGGTTTGTTGTTTGACGCCGCACTCAGCAATATTCCAGCTATAAGACGGCGGTCTGTAAATAATTGAGTCTGGACCAGACAAGCCAGTGATCAATATCATGAGCATCGATCCATGCAATTGGGATCGATGACATGCATCAACCAAGTCAGCGAGTCTGATCACCCGATCCCGTTAGTTGCCTATTCCGACAAGCACAGTCGCCTTTTACGGCAAGCATGGGTGGCTGAAGACCTATTCTACCCAGGATCTTCATGGGTCACAAAATTGAAGATCCTAGTTCAAAATATTTCATTGCTATGAAATATTGCCAATAAGACATCCACTATTTGAACTCTCACCCCCATGACTATAATTTGTACCCAAATTTAAGAAATAATTTATGACTTGTAGTCAATCAAAGATGTTGAAGTGCACTATAAATTCTAAAGTGAACCTTAACACACTTTTAGTGATACATGAAAAAACTTATGTCAAATGATGAATGAATGAGGGGCACGTATCTACATCTACATCTACAGCAGCCAGTAAATAATCCAAGTCTGGGCAAACCGGTGATTGACACAATGAGCACCAATAACCATCATCAGGCACACCAATAACCATCATCAGGCACACCAATAACCATCATCAGGCACGGCGACAGTAAATAGCCAAGTCACACAGCTCAACCACCAGGTAGTGTGTGGGTTCAAACAGGAAGGGTATGTCAATGGCTGGTGTATCATCCATAAAGCCCTTTAAAATTATTACGTATCATTTTGTATCCTGGTATTTTTGTTACAATCAGGGCCCCATTCCACCAAGCATTCTCAGAGCTATGATTGCCGTAAGGCGATGATAAATTATGGTAGATAAGATCGTCTTAGCATGCTCAGCACTAAGGTTGACATGGGGAACGGCTCGGGTCATGTACATTTTCTCAGCTTGTTTCATTACTCGTGTTTATTATGAAATATATTTACATTAACAATTTTGAAGATACAGTTAACTTACATAAAATCGCAACATGAATTTATTAAAAAAACTGAAAGAGAAATGAGGGAAATAAGTCACAACTTTTTTTTCCTGTGTGTATTGAGCACTGTGGGGGTAAACATGGTAAACATTTTGGCTAAAAATGGTATTTGAATCCCCCAAAATTAGGCCTACGACAAGCACCCCATTCCATTCAGGATTAATTTTAAATAATGAAGAATGATAAATGTCTAAAAATAAAAGTACCCACTTCCACATACTGTTTCAATTATTGCTAATAGTTAATTTTACTATTATGTGAACCACTTGGTATATTCCATAAAACTGTAACTTGCAAAGTCGACATTTATGTCAGCTAGCTGCTACCTAAAATACACATCCTTTTACTACTTATGTTAACTATATGTAGGGAGGTGGGGTAGCCTATTGGTTAAAGCGTTTGCTTGTCAGGCTGAAGACCCGGGTCCGATTCCTCACATCACGTGACATGGGTCAAGGGTGGGATGCCTATTTCCGGTGTCCCCTGCTGTGATATTGTTAAAAGCGGGGTACTCAGTGACTGTGGTCAGTGTAGTCAAATCCATGGTTCATAAATGATCAATGGGATATGAAATGAGCCAGGAATACAAAACGACCTATGGGACACACACTAAAAAGCTATAAAATGACCAAGCAATACGAAACTACTTGATGACAAAAATACTGGGATATGAACATGATGGAAAGACCTGATACCATTAGATCTATAAACACTAGGTCTAGGCTACCTGCCATCTAAAACAGCCGAAATAACAGTCACAGAAGAATCTTCTAATAGTTCTATATATTACATAACTTCTAGGCTACCCCATCTCAAAAAATTATTGTCTGTCACTTCTCTGTTCAAAATTAGAATTTCTAGTGTGTCAACATCACCAGAGCATGTATAAACCAAAAAGCATTTTCAACAATATTCTATCATTTCACTGCATCACTCTATACTAATTTCTAAGAGGTTCCATTTGCATTTGTCGATGTATTCCAGTGATCGTTACCAGACACATGAGCATGATAAGGACAAACTGTCAAGCATATACCTCATCTTCTGAGTTGGACAGATTTCTGTTGTCTTATCGTTTCTGTTTACTAATGCCATGCTGAAAATTTGTTGCCTAACTGTAGCACTTCCGGTTAGGAAGTATCGTTACACACGCGAGTACACAAGAACCGATGACGTATAGCACAAGAATAGGTCGAGTGACGTTTCTGACATTCACAACCAAAACAAAGTAGACAGCTGATAGATAGTACTATAATTAGCACTGTACACGGAGCCTGGAGACGGTGAGAAATGCGTAGATAATATACTGCATTGTTTGTTTACATATGTATCGTTATTCCTATTCATTTCCAACTGTTTATGGCCGAGAGAGCACCAGGTAAATCAGAAGCTTATTGAAGTTATTGTCTCAAATATTTCTATGGTCACAGGTCGCTGACCTTATCAATCACACGGACGTTCCGAACAAAATTCGAAATATATTCGGTCAGCAATGTCAGGTCGAAAACACGGATAGCAAAATGTCTGCAGTTACGACCAATTAAATGCATGTGTTGATCTTTCGAATTTGAATAATGTTGAAATGTCAGAATTCTTTGTTACAGAAACAAAGAAATAAATATCTGTTGACTCAGTTTCAGTTGCTGAGGATTTACGCTTCGAAATCCAATGTTAATTATTAAATAGCTTGACTGTCCTGTATCATGTTTACTGATTGGTGACGTTAATTCTGATAGTACCATGATTAACAATGTTGTATTAGCGTTTTTGTTTCATATTTATATAGCCATCCTGTCACTACAATCAACAGCTGACCTGTAGGCCATTTGGCCTAGTTAACAATCAGGTCTGTTATGTCGACAAGATATTTGTCAGGAAGGTTTAACAGAAACTGTGTAACATCCATCAAATTTTAACTGATAGTATCAGCTTAAGTTAGACAATACACGATTTAATACCAAGGATTATCATGTGGGATATAATTGAATTAATTATGATATGTAATTCATATATAGTCCTACCTACATGTACTGGGGTGTATTGATTTAAAATGGTGCATTGCAGTTACCAGTTCATGAGGTCAATATGCTTGTGTCATTTCACTTAGGTACTGAAGCATATGTGGTCATATTTGTGTTTGATCATGTTCCTATGAAAACCTATTATTCTGGAAGGTAAAAATATTCTAACATGCGTAACTTAACTTTGTTAAACATGTTAAAGGTTGACTGACCCATGGGGATTCCAGGGAAGAATATAGCTCCCTAGCAACCTATGCTCGTTGTAAGAGGTGACTAAATGGATTGGATGGTCAGACTCACTGACTTGGTTGATGTATTTTATCGTATCCTGTGTGTGCATTGATGCTCATGATGTCAGTCACTGGATTATGTACAGGCCACTGTCTTATCACGACAAATTTGCTGAGTGCAGTGTTAAACAACAAACATAATATAGGAAGACTATTCTCGATGGCCTTGTGCCCATTTCTAGGTTTACTCTAGGTCTAGATGTTGTAATTAGTATCTTGTGTGAAACTGTAACTTGTATCTGTGGAATCAGGATCGTCATTATTTGTTGGATGAATGTACATCTCGCAGCAGACATATATCAGCCTTCAAAATTAACAATGATTAAGAGGGGGGGGGGGGGGGGTCCTTGAGGTCCCTGTTATAGTATTTGAATCTAGGGAACCCCTAAATCTTCAAGTTCAATATTAAACTTCAAGTTATGATAAGGACCCCTTGACTATCCTACATAATTTAAAACACTATATGTCATCATGATTATGGCATTTGTACAACTTGAATCACTTTTAGACTGACATTTTGCCCAAGACGAGTCCCTTTTAATTCACCATGTGGGGAGACTGGTTTACAATAGGCCCCAAACAACCTATGCAATGCTGTACGAGGCAAGAATAAGAATCGGGTGGTCAGACTCAGAGACTTAGTTGATTACGTCTTCATCGTACTCCGACAATGGGACATTGCTCAATCACTGGTTTGTCTGGTCTAGACTCAATTATGTACAGCTTGCTTTCATATTCCTGAAATATGGCTGAGTGTTGGCATGGCGTTAATCAACAAAAAAACCCCAAAAAAACAGTCATGTAGGGGAAGTGAAGAGATGTTTGTGGGGAGCATCATTAGAAATAGGACAGGTAACACGGTAAAGGACAGGAAGAATTATCATGATTATTGTAATTGTTTAGGTAATTGTTAAATGGGTGCATCTTTTTGCACTGAGTTATATTATAAAATGGTTAAAACAATGTAAAATTGTTTTTTCTTCTGATAACCATGATAACAAACTACTCGACTATATTGCATACTGGGGCACACATGGACAAGCAATTTTGGAGGATAAAAAAAGCATACATTTTGTTCACTCTTGGATAAAAACCTTCATTTCCTTTCAATAAATCAATTAATTGATGTCTTATTCTGCATCATGATGTTTACTGATTGTTCATGCTGCTTTAAAATAAGACCTGTCGGCATGTAGTGAATATAGGTATAATATATTATTGCAGTCTGTAAATAATCGAGTCTCAACCAGACAATCCAGTGATTGATACCATGAGCATAAATCCATACATATGGATACATGACATGCATCAACCAAGTCAGCGAGCCTGACCACCCTATCCCGTTAGTTGCCTCTTACGGCAAGCATAGTCACCTTTTATGGCAAGCATGGGTTGCTGAAGACCTATTCTAACCCAGATCTTCAGGGGTTCATATTTGTTATTGCAATGCAGGTGAAAGGGCACATGACAAGGCTAAAGCATGGGTCCGATATCCTGGTGACAGCTTTTACAAATATTGATGAATTTGAACAAGTTCAACTTTTCATGTGTCAGTCGAGGTGAAGAACTGCATTGACAACCATTTTGCCTTCTGAACATTTACCTTTTGAAACTTCAGTTAGTGGTGGTTAGTGGGTGGGTGTGGCCACGTCACAACCAGGAATAGATGTACACTCCATGTCTTTCAATAAAACATCTAAAGTGAAAGGGGCTTTGGGGATTTATGTTAGTGGGGTCTGTATGGGATTTTCAAGATGGGTTGACCTGGTGGTGTCAAGCCAGGGCTCGATTTAAGGAAGTCAGGTGCATGTTGACAACCCAGCTGCCCCAGACAAAATCAGGTTGCACAACCCAGCTGCACCAGACAAAATCAGGTTGCACAACCCAGCTGCACCAGACAAAATCAGGTTGCACAACCCAGCTGCACCAGATAAAATCAGGTTGCACAACCCAGCTGCACTAGAAAAAACCAGGTTGCACAACCCAGCTGCACCAGATAAAATCAGGTTGCACAACCCAGCTGCACTAGAAAAAACCAGGTTGCACAACCCAGCTGCACCAGACAAAACCAGGTTGCACAACCCAGCTGCACTAGAAAAAAACAGGTTGCACAACCCAGCTGCACTAGAAAAAACAAGGTTGCACAACCCAGCTGCACCAGACAAAACCAGGTTGCACCCTGGTCCCATAAATTTAAATCCACATGTACCCACATGATATCAAGTCCATAAAGCATGGCAAGTTACACATCACAGGAATTAGTGATGTAGTATGATAATAAACTTCAGAGGTATTGAATGTGTTCAAAGATCAGTGTTGTGTGGACAATTAAGGGGCAGAAGTATTGCAATAGTCTCTTGGTTTGTTTCGTAGTATGTATGAGTTAAGATAATCCATACATTAACTATATCCTGGAAATTGATTGTGAATTACATGTGGTACAAGAGATTTGATTTAGCTTTGAATCAATGTGTTAATTAAGATAATCCATTTCTTAAGATCACTTCGTCTGGTCTCTGTCTGATGACGTCGAACAACTCGGGATGCAAAGTCCACCCTCCCACCTAGGCGAGGGGAAACTACCGGTCTTTGTCTTCCCATCCAGCCTCGCATTCTACTCCGACGACCAGGCTACACACAAACAGGTGCTCACCCTCTACAACCCGTACGATGCTGCTCTCAAGTTCAAAGGTACTGGGTGATAACACAAGGTGGTTGTGTAGGCTAAGGCCTTTTATCATAGCACGTCTAAGTGGTATGTACATTCAGTAGGCGGCACAAGGGGTTGACAATTTCAAGCCATAGGTTTATAAATGGTTATGGCTGCAGTAGAAGTCACGGTTGACAGTGGTTTATATTCACATAATTTTTAAAACCTGGTGCTGTTGTACAAAACAACCTTAGCGCTACGACTGTCTTAAGTCTATGTTAAGGTATGGGAGTTACGATCACCTAAGCGCTAAGATTGCTACCGGTATGTACAATGGCACCCAGAAAGATTCCAGAACCTCTTTAATTTTGAACCGTTATCTGAAAGTAACAAATGTTATATTTGGGATAACACTTTCTTAGTAAAGTACAGATTCTCATACTTTTTTGGGTTGAGTCCCGTCTGGGATTCGAACCCACACTGCCAGTGAGGCACCTAATCGCCAGCACACAAAGTCAGTGATCTACCCCACTCAGCCACCGAAGCTTCCACAAAAATGAAAGTCTGACAACTGGTAGTATAGATCACATACTTTGTGTACCCCTCTGACAAGTGTAAATTGCTCCCATGGCCGAAAGCTATGAATTCACAATGCTATTTAGAAAGTGGTCAAATGTAACAAATGTTATATTTGGGATAACACTTTCTTAGAAATGTACAGATTCTCGTAACGTTTTTGGGTTGTTTCCCGTCCGGGGAGAGTAAGAGTAAGATTTTACTTATCTGAAAGCTGATAACAAGGGTAAGCCTGACTCAAGAGTGACTCCATTTTTCTCAAGTGGTGAGTAGTGAGTGAGGGAGTGAGTGCAGTCTGCAACTTTAGCTACTTGTCCAAAGCTTCAGTCTAATAACATTCTGTTTGGTCTAGTAACATCATGGACACTTAGTATTATATTTAGGGTCCATGGTAACATCAGCTGATAATAGTCTACAAAATAACTAAATAACTAAATTCAACAGACAATGATGGAAAGCACCAAGTTCCGTCCAGCCGTCTCGGAAGTGTTTGGAACAGACTGTGTTGTTTTGAGCTGCAGTCAGCCAAATTTCATCTGTTTTGCTGCAGTCTGTTAACAGTCTTGCTAGGCAGACCAGAGGTGGATAGCATGAGCAACAATCCTCACCATTCGGGATGGCGCAGGTTCCTTCATTAGGG